GAAATATTTCATCGAAATTTAATAACTCTATTGATTCTTCATGCAATTAGAGCAATTAAAAAAAACAAAAACAAAAAAACGAGTATAAAACATTTACAAAGTTCGGTCACGTAGTATTTTTCTATGTTTTCATAACCCGGTCAAACTCAGTCAAATCTGAGTAAAACCGCGGTTTAACTGGATACCGATACCGGTTAAACTAGTTTTTGCATATATTTTTTAAAAAATTAATTTTTAAATATTTTTTAATATTTTTTTAACCAGTTTTCACTGGTTTCGAAGAACGAGCTAACCCACTAACTCGGTCATATTAACGGTTCACCTTCCGGTCCGATTTTGAAAACATAGGTATTTTCGAGAATACCCAGATGTCTTCAATTTTGGTTAGTCCATAATGAATTCGGTTCATAAAATATTTCAAAATCACATGATACTCTCTCCTTGGAACAAATATAAACAATGCAAATGAGACAAAAATATTACATGGAGCGATAGTGCAAGTTGCAACATGTATGTACCTGCAAGTTGTAACTTGTAAGTAAATGTAAGAGCTAATTTTTCTTCCCCCAAAAAATATTGATTCCTTGATTTTTTTCATTGCTGCCTACTTGGAGACTAGCTGGTAAAGCTTATCGAAACTATATATATTATCCGTTTTAAAATGAATGTTCAGTTAAACTAACATTTTTATTATAATTTATTCTAAGAATTAAATTTAAAATCAAATTATTCTTGGACAGAAAGAGTATATATATAAATACTCAGACTATCTTTATTCTGTCCCTTTTTTTTTGGGGTAAACTATTACTATTCCCTTTGAAATATAGTCAAACATTTTGTACATTGTCAATAACAAAGTGAAATTTACTATTAACATTTGGTCAGCACATCATCGTTTATTTTTCTTTTTGGTCACTATTCTGAGTACAAATCAATTTCAACGGAACTTTCAGTATAGTTTGTGCATGATGATTGACTAGTAAGTAGTAACTGAAAACATGAATACAAATTGGTTCGAACTATTTGAGTTTTGTTACTTTACACCAAGAGATGATGAGAGTAAACAAAACAATTTTTACCATTGTAAAGTAGACATTTAACAACTTATGCATCTAACAAGGAAGGGGGATGGGGGTGAAAACTAAAGTTGACTTCATATTCTTGATCAATTTTCGGACCTTAAAAGAAGAACATGCGGTCATTTTTTGTGATCCTAAATAAAGAAAAGCAATTGATTGAGCCACAAGGGAAAAAAAAAAAAAAGGAAAAAAAAAAAGAAGAAGAAGAGGAAATTCATAAGAGGAAGAAAAGCAGCATTACTCACCATTAGGATCTGCAACATTTCAGCCAAGAAAAAGAGCCATGAGAACAGCAGCCACAGAGAGAGAAGGGAAAAACAAGACCACAAAGTCAGAATTAATAGAGGCAAAACAAAATTAAAATCGAACAAGTTAAATTGACGTTTGACTAATTTCTTTTTTCCCTGTACGTAAAAACCAATGATGCACATTCATTCATGAAAATAACCCCATCAAAAAAAAAAAGGTATACATATCACATACCATTCATCCAGTTCTTGGGAGGTTGGAAATGGAAAGTTGTTCTGTAAGTCTGATTAGGTTGAAGATCCGCAAGGTTTCTGTAAACTCTTGCATCAGGAGATGCTTCAGATTGATGAAAGTGAAAAATGGTAGAGAATAATAACAGAAAGAATATACTCCAGTTGGCCATTTATTTGTTTATGAATGAAGGATCGATGGGGCTTAACTCCGGAGTTTGGAGAAAATGACCAACGTTTTTATGGCTTATTTATAGGACAAGGTTTCTGTCTTAATGCCAAAGTCGTCGCATGCCAGCAATTCATATAGCATCGGACCAAATGTAAATGGATTATTTATTTCTATGACGGAAAATGTATAAAATAATAATACCACTCCCAGGCAAGGTCATAACTCATAAGAGCCTTTGGAAGGGCTTGGACCATGTCTCCCCAACAATTTCAGTATAAAATAATAAAATAACAATACTACTCCCACTCATAAGAACACTTCCACATTTCGAGGTCGGAATGGGATTGAGTTATCAAAAAAAAAAAAAAATAGTTGATAATTTTATTATATTCTTTTGAGTACAACTAACGTAGTACTCCCTCTGGTCCTTAATATAAGACATTTTGATTTGTCCTAAATCTAATCTAGTACATATTTTTAGTCGGCGAAAAAACCTTTAAAAAATTTCATAGCAATCAAGAGAACACGACGAATGTAAAAATATATTTTTAAGATTTTTTTGTCAATTAAAAATGTGTACTAGATGAAATATAGAAAAAATCAAAATGTTTTATAATAAGGACCAGATGAGTACACGTATAATTTTAGGATAGATAGAGTAAATAAAGATTTAAGCGGAGGAATCTGATCAAAATCGCATGATGATTCTTTAACAACTTCGATGATATATATTTTCTCAATTGGGATTTTATTCGGTAAGATGATATCCATAACTTTGTGTGAAGAGATTTTACGTGGGAATGTTAGTGTCCACTTGTGCGTTACTCAAAAAAGCTGTATAGATCGAAATGGATAAATAGAACAACAGTAGCTAGGTTAATCCAAATTCCCAAGTAGTGTATATGTATGGCTACACAAAAAATAATACTGGGTTGTAAAAATACGAACTGTTAATGGCATTTTTGAAAAGTAGTTCAGTTCATGGGTTACTAGCTGTTACTTAATATAAGGTATCTTGATTTGTTATAGTTTTAACTTAGTACACAATTTTAATGGACGAAACAACCTTAAACATATATCACAACAATCAAAACATATATCACAACAATCAAGAGAATACAACGAATGTAAAAATATATTTTTAAGGTTTTTTTGTACATAAAAAATATATATTATGTGAAATTTATGAAAAGTCAAAATACCTTATAATAAGGACTCTGGCGGCCATCGTTATTTATTCTTTCGGTTTCATTACTTAATTACAGATCAGAATAAATCCAAATTATCCCTTAATCACTTTCAAACATACGAAACAATCTGATCATGCCTTATATTGCGAAGTATGAAAGTAGCAAATTTTCATATCGAGATCGAATATTACAATTATCTGGTTACATTAGACTAGCATAACACGCTTTCAAATAAATTCTCCCATTTTATCTATTTCCGCGTTAGATAAAAAAGAAATATATCATATCACTGTTACTTACTGTGTATTTTATCAATTGTATTTAAAAATCATAGTTGATAATTAGAAACAATAATTTTATTATTTTTTTTTTTAGCTTTGTTATTCATTTCTGATCACATGAAAGAGCTAAAATATAGGGTTATTTTGCGTGTACTAATTATTTAACTCTGGTAAAGCCGTCCAAAGCATTCATCTCTGTCTCTCTCTGTGCATTCATGTCGTTTGTGTGTAGAGACAAATTAACGATAGATACATGTGAGGAGCTACTTTTCTTTACTTAATTATAAAATATTTACTGATAATGTAATTATGCAAGCTTTAACAGAAAACAGCGAAAACATGGATTAGCTTAGCTCTAAAATTTTCTGATATTTTTTTAAAATTTAATTTATAATTAATTAATGACAATTTGCAATCGTTTAAATAATCAATAACTGTGGTATTAATGACCTGGTAACTAGTAGCGAAGGAGCTATAACTGTGATATTGACAAGAGTAGCAGGGATAGATAATAACATTTTTTCTAAAAAATGTAACAAGATGAAACCAAAATGAGGGTAAAACTAGTATTAAATTAATCTAAAGGCGCTACAAGCCTTTAAGACCTAATTCTATAGATCTTTCTCATGCAGTTGCTAAAAATAGCTATTCATGTTTTTCTATAACTTCATTTTATTTGCTGTCCTTAAACATATATAATCACGTTAAAATTTTTCCTATCATAAAATTATGCCTTTTTTTTTTTTTACTTAAAAGAGAATTATACAACTATCTAGTAGCCTGGCGGCGGCCAATCTAAGCGACTTGTTTAGACTTTAGAGTGGACTAATCTCCATCATCAGATATTAGTCCTGAATATCCTTTTTTTTTCTACAATAATTTTGTGTTTCAGATTGATGAGATGACTGTGTTGCTAAGCGATGTATAAACGAGATCATACATTATAATAAAGATGTCGTGCCCTTTTATATGTTCCAACATATTACATATGTGTTACCACATTTAATCATAATAAAGAAAAAATGTCTGGCCAATACAGATTTCCGTATTTACGTACTGTTTGAAATCTTTTTTTTTTCTAAAATTTTAAAGATATGTGTCGTGTTTATATTATTCACTTTTTATCAAGTCTTTTTCCTACACTAATTATGCCAAAATATTTCTACAATCCGGGCAACGCACGGACCCACAACTAGGTATTCATGTTTAAGACCTAATTCTATAGATCTTTCTCATGCAGTTGCTCAAAAATAGCTATTCATGTTTTTTTATAACTTCATTTTATTTGCTGTCCTTAAACATATATAATCACGTTAAAAGTTTTCCTATCATAAAATTATGCTTTTTTTTTTTTTTTACTTAAAAGAGAATAATACAACTATTTAGTAGCCTGGCGGCGGGCCAATCTAAGCGACTTGTTTAGACTTTAGAGTGGATTAATCCCCATCATCAGATATTAGAGCGTTGGTCGAGTTACATGAGGAGTTGTAATTAATGGTTGTAGCTTTTGTTTTACTAATTACACATATTGAATGCAGTGACTTAGGCTTCTGTCCATTTTATTAAGATGACAAAAGAAGCACTTTTACACTTGATTTGGAAAGGGAACTGTGGGACTCTTAGGCAGTTTCTTGTAGCTTTTATATGTGCGGAGTGTGATATAAAATGATCTTATTCATTGAAAGTCTCCTTCTCTCGAGTTACATATGATCTAATTCTTAGAATTACAACCCAAATAATTTCCAATCCGTACGTGTCAATAAAATAAGAGGATAAAGAAAAAAAAATTAGTATGATCATCAACTCTTCTTATCGAGAAGAGCTCGTTCCATACTCCATGCACTCATGTTTGAAATGGCGACGTTTGCGATTCCGTTGTTGAACACGTACAAACGAGCGGCATCCCCAATCGCCTTTGTCGGATAAACCCTGGATGTAATACATGCCTTTCCCTTCGCACCAAAGCTTTCCACAATGGATTGATCAATCTGTGATTATTATATAATGATTAGTCGTAACTCCATTCTAATAAATAAATCACGTATCAAAACTAGTAAAATCTTGGAATGTAGCCCCCTCTTTCTAGATTAATTAATAGAAATTACAAGTATCTGAAGAAGTCAATGCGATTAACCATTTCAATTATCACCAAAAAAGAGTAATTACCAGAGTTCTTAGGGACAACTGTTCATGTAAAGGATCCACATCTAAGAACACTCCATATGGAGTCTTATCTGGTCTTGGATTTATTGAAGATCTGCAAAATGAATCACGAAATTTTAAGAAAATATTAAAAAAAACAAAAATAAAAATGAAGAAACTCATAAATTTAATCAACCATTGAAGCCTAATTATACCTGCTTTGATCACTGCACATTAGCACCTTATATTTGTTGTTCTTAACCTTGAAAATTCTGAAGAAAACAGCAGTGTATTCTTTCATGTCCTTTGAGGCCAACACTTTGAGTCCAAATGGGCCCAATCCACCTTTTATTGATGCATCCTTTTGACTGCATAGCAATTGGGCATCAGGCCGACGGGTTTGGTCCAAATAATCCGCCTTTTTCAACTCTGAGAGTTGGACCGAAAACGATACATCTACGTCCGCCTGTCCACAGAGTAGGTTGGTTATTTGACTTATTGGGCTCCGGAACATAACTATCACTGACTTTTCATAGCTCTCCATTTTCAGCCGACTTTTTTTTTAAATCATCTATAATCACGAGTTTTTCTTGTAGTCCCAAAAAATCATCTCATTTTTTAAATTTTTTATTTTCCTTGTCATTGTATTTTCTCCATCTTAAAATAACTGAACTGATTATTTTATCACAACAAAAACTAAGATCATTTCAAAGAAAAGTTTTGGCCTTCTGTGAGGGGAAAAAAAATGTCACAGTTGTTCACCTTAAAAAAAAAAAAAAACTATGTATATTTTCACATTAAACAAAAGAGTCCAGAATAAGAAAAATTGTTCTATATCAACGAAGTAAAAAAAAATGATGATATTAATAACTTGTACGTGGGAATTCAGAAATAAGGTTTGGACTTACTTGTGAGGCTGTGACCCCCGCAACTTGTTGTGTGGATCCAGCCTTAAGCAATTTGCCTGCAAGCCCAACTTTTTTTCCTCTCAATTTTTCAATCTCCGGAATTGGCCATTGAATCAGCTGCTTCCCTGATTTATCAAGCCATATCTCCCTTGGAATTCCCTGAATGACAGCATTTACCATTGAATTAACCATCTTGAAATGGTAGAGTGTTTGTTTTCGAAGAGCATTAATGAAAAAAAACTCTCTAATTCTAGTACCTGAACTCCTGACCAACCCTGTGAAATGTAATCTTCCTTGGACAAGGATTCATTAATCCATCCCCACAGAATTCTTCTCCCTTTCAAACTATCATAAAATGTCTTCGAAGCATAGAATTTTCCATAATCATATCTCAACCCGGCGTCGCCTTCCACGGCACCTTTATCCGGGGTAAACACATCCTTGGAGATGTCATACTTCCCTACTGTGTACACATCATGTTTAGTGTCATCCAAACTAACTTTCAATATATGTTTTACACCAACACCGATGACAGAGGTATCCAGGCCGGTGTTTTTTCCTGGGCGAATACTCGAAGAAACAGGGTAAAAATCAGGGCACTCCCACATCCCTGTTCCTTCAGCTGAATGCAACGGGTGATGAGCCTGAATCCAATGCACGAAGTCCTTGCTTCTGTATAAAATTGCCCGGCCACGACGATTCACTTTGTTACCAATAAGGACTCTCCAGTGTCCATCAGGGCCTTTCCAGGCAGTTGTAGGATCCCTGAATGAGCTGGAATTGAGTCTGTTGGCTGGAGTTGGGTACATGAGTGGATTGTTAGTATCTTTTACCCAATCAATCAAGTAAGGATCGGATAGATTAGCCGGTTTTGCGAGATTCTGAACTTGTTGATTCTGTGGGTTAATTCCCGTGTACAGAATGGCTGGAACTCCTCCAGGAAGCATTGTGGCTGATCCTGACCAGCAGCCATTGATGTCTCCTTTTTTTTGAGATGGAAAAATGCCTGGTTTGTGGGGAGTCCAATTCACCAAGTCTGTGGATGTTGAGTGAGCCCATACAATGTTTCCCCAGTCTGGACCAAGTGGATTATATTGGTAGAACAAATGATATAATCCCTTGTATACCATCGGTCCTGTAAAATGAGACATTTTCATTGAAATTTAACTACTGATTCTTCATGTAAATCCAAGCGAAAAAGAATATAGCTTCCTTTCAATCTCGCGAACTGATTAAACTTAGTACGGAAGTTGTTCAAGAATTACAAAATTTGCATACAGTAAGATGCAATGTAATAGTTCAGGTATTTCTAATTAATCTAATACACAGGTAAAAAAAAAAAGGTGAAAAAGAAGAGGATAAATAATATGCGCAGTTCGGTCAATATAAACCAGATAGTATTTCGAGATTATTCTTCGTGATACTTTTTAGGTCGATGTCTCAAATTTAGGTTGGGTGATTATGAAAATGATAAATAAAAAATTTCGAATCACATGATACTCCCTGCTTAGAATATATGTATGCAATGCAAATGAGACAAAAAATTATTTATTACATAGAAATTCAAGCAAGAGTGCAACTTGTATCTACTTGTGAGTTTTCCACATGGATGTGATTCCTGATAATGACAGAGTTTAATGTATAAGAATCCTTGATTAATTCTTTTTTTTTTTTTTTTACGACGAAAGAAAAAGATTCCTTGATTTTTGCATTGCTGTCTACTTGGAGACTGGACTACAGCTGATGAAAACCATTTATAAATCCTTGGGCTATTATTATTCACTTTGAACAGTGACAAAGTTCGAAATAACTATTTAACATTTGGTCAGCACATCATCGTTTACTTTTTTTTGTCACAATTCTGAGTACAAATTTGAATGGAACTCTCAATATAGACTGTAGATGATGATTGACTAGTAACGGTGAAAACATGAACACAAATTGGTCCATTTATATGAATTTAGTGACTCTCTACTCCAAGTGAGGATAATAGTAATAAAAATAAATTTTACTATTGCATAGATATTTACATTTTTTGAACATTAGTTGGACACGTCTATTTAATCATCTCATTTCCATATATTTTATGCATCTAACAAGGAGGGGTAAAAAAAAAACCTATGGAATTGAAAGTTGACTCCATACTCTTGATCCATTTCGGACCTTAGAGAAGGAACACGAGATCATTTTTTATGATCCTAGATAAAGAAAAGCAATTGATTGAGCCACAAGGAAAATCATGAGAGGAAGAAAAGCAGCATTAACTCACCATTAGGATCTGCAACATTTCAGCCCAGAAAAAGATCCATGAGAACAGCAGCAACAGAGAAGAAGAAAACAAGAACACAAGTTAGAATATTTAGAGACAAAACAAAATTAAAATCTAACAAATAAGTTAACGTTTGACTAATTTCCTTTTTTCTTGTACGTAAAAAACAATGATGCACATTCATTCATGAAAATAACCCCATCCAAAAAAAAAAAAAAAGAAAGGAAAAGGTATACATACCGTTCATCCAGTTCTTGGGAGGTTGGAAATGGAAAGAAGTTCTGTAAGTCTGACTTGGGGTCTTAGGTTGAAGATCTGCAAGGTTTCTGTAAACTCTTGCATCATGAGATGCTTCAGATTGATGAAGATGAAAAATGGTGGAGCATAATAACAGAAAGAATATACTCCAGTTGGCCATTTTTTTTTGTTAATGAATGAAGAAAAGGCTTTAACTCTGGAGTTTGGAGAAAATGACCAACGTTTTTATGGCTTATTTATAGGACAAGGTTTCTGTCCTATTGTCAAAGTCGTCGCATGCCAGCAACTCATATACCATCGGACCAAATGTAAATGGATTATTTATTTCTATGACAGGGAAAAGGTATAAAATATTAATAAACAAAAAAAAATCCAATATAGATAATAATCTTTTTTCCGTCTTTTTTAATACAGTTAACATGACTCTAATTTTAGAACAGACGGTGTAAATAGAGATTTAAGGGAAGGAACCCAGAAAGGGAAAGTTCTGAAGGGTCATGATCAAAATCACATGATTCTTTCACAACTTCGATGATCATCTTTTCTCAATTGGGATTTTATTTGGGAAGATGATCATAACCACATTTTTTATGAAGAAATTTTACGTGGGAATGTTCAAGTCCAGTACTTCTGTGTACTCGAGCAGAGCTGTATAGATCGAAATGGATAAATACAAGAACAGTAGGTTAATCCAAAGTCCAAAGTTTAGTGTGTACATGGGAACACAAAAATAATATGGGGTTCTAAACTGTTAATGGCATTTTTTGAAAAGTAGTTCAGTTCATGGGTTACTACTAACTTTATTGGCGGCCATCGTGAATTTTCTTTGGTTTAATTACTTTACAGATCAGTAGTTACTCATAATGACTCGAAGTAAATCCACATTATCCCTTAATCACTTTCAAACATGTGAAAAAATCTCATCATGTCATGTATTACCAAGTAACAAATTTTAATACTATCTAGATTGTAATTGCATATAATTTCTGGTGAAAAATTACCTAAAATTTTGATAATTTTAGATAATGAATAACAATGATACAATTACTTTGTTATTTAACGGTTGTATATTAAAATCATAATTGATAAGCGGAAACATTAATTATTTGGTTTTGCTTCGTAATCCATTCACATGAAAGAGCTAAAATTTAGGGTTGTTTTGCGTGTTAATTAACTCTGGTAAGCCGTCCAAAGCATGTACATGTCGCTCTTTGTGCATTCGTGTCAGTTCTGTTCTAAAAAATTAACTCATATTGAATTTTGAGTTTTATATTATTGTTTTTAGCACAAAGTTAAAAACTTAATATGAACTATTTTTTCTGATGCTAATCTAAATATCTGACAAATAATCAATCTAGTAGGTATAGTGTACAGAGGGACCTATATGTATAAAATAATTTATAAGCTATTGTCACAAACGAATTATAAATAATGCCAATTGTATATCGACTGTATGAGAACAAAATTATTATGCAACAGCTAGCATTATTCGTATATTTTTTTTCTCCGTAGCCATTTGGTCCAGTCCTTTGATATGTTTGGAAATAATTTGCTACTATTTGTTTATTGAATAATCAATGTGTTACTGTTACAAATGTAATTGTCAAACTTGATTACATGAGAACCAGCATTATATTTATGACACTTACCACCGTGGCACCATCTAGTACAACAAATAACAGGATCGTTTTTTAGACAAAAATTTGTTACAAATAACGTTATTCAAGAGAGCCCTCTTATTTAATTTCTTAGCTACAAAAAGTGCCCATCATGTTTTATAAGCTCACATTATTCGCTTGTCCTTAGACATTATTACGTTTAGATTTTTCCTGTTGTCAACTAATTTTTTTATTTTTTATTTTTGGCTCTAATCATGTATGATTTCATGGTTAGAGATTATTACTTTACAAAAGATCTATCAGAACCGCGTGTAAATATCAAATAAGTCCGAATGTGTGAATGTAAATTTCTGATTATCTCTTTTTTTTTTTTGACCCCAAAAATAAATTATTTTATAAATGATTTTTTTTTTGTAAAAGAAAATAAAATAATAAACGCAAGTTGCATGAATTGTGTGGGGGGAGATTCTTAAATATAGAATGGGGATTGGGACCAATGGCGTGATTTTGCGAATCTTGATCTTACTCGTGCTTGCTATTCTAATAGCCATTAGCTCTCCGTCCAGCCCAGCTGCCCTAAAATAATGTCTTCATAACAAATAAAGTTGCCTCCCGTTTTATTGTTTTCTTACAATTTCAACTAAAAAGTGTACATAATTAATTTTGGAATGCTAGAAATGGAATTGTCAAAAAAAGGAAACTGTCTAACAATGGAAAAAGGTGGGAACAACTTTGAGGTAACCCAAAAAGAGGGAACTTTTAAAGTTATTATTATAGATTTCAAAGATTAGACTAAACACAAAAATGTAATAGATAAGGACAACCACGTTTGTTCGTAAAAAGGGAAAGAACAATATCAACATTTTTGTCAATATTCGTGGATTCCTTTTATTAAAAATATATCCATGGCAAAAATGATCCAGAGAGTTCGTGATAAGTTAACTAAGTTAAAGTTATGCCTTATATCGTATAATTGTTACTCAAGTTTTAACATTTTTTTTCTCTTTGTAGAAACAGTGGTTTTTCTCTCCCTTAAAAAAAAAATAAAATTTCAAGTCATTTTTTAATATAGTTTCTATTTATGAACTATGGAGAGTATATGTGAACGGAATGATTCAACTAAAATTCTCATCTAGACGAAACAAAGTATAGGTGTTAGATTATTGATTGAATTATTCAGTCGGAAAAAATTATCATTTTTCTAATTATAAAAACTTTTCGAAACAAAAGTTATCGTAGCCATTCATTCTTGTTAAACTTCTGGTCTAAGGGGAAAGATTTTGCACCTAAAATGTGATTTCTTTCATGTATGACTGGAGCAAAAAGTCAAAACTATTATGGACAAACTCTTTTATGTTTTTTAGACAAAAACAAAATGGATATCCAATTATCTATAGAAACATGAATTTATTTAGCTAGGAATATTTTTGAAGATTTTTCTTAAGAATCACGACTCGTATTAGCTAGGAAGAAGACTTTGATGGATGGATTCATCTGTAAGTCAGCTCTATTTTACCACTAGACTGACTATTAATCAAGATCGATCTACTTGATATTTTGAATTTCCCTAAAAGAACAAAAAAAAAAGAATAAAAGTATTGCAAGTTGCAACTTGCAAGGCACACTTCAAAACAATAATTGAAAAATTAATTACAAACAAAAATTGACAGGTATTAAACTCGGATTTCCTCGTCGGTCATGACTTCCGAAGTCTTAGTTGAATCACGTTGTTTTCTTAAAGCTGTATAGTTATTATTCACTAAGAGATAAGAGATGAGACAATATGAGTTACCAAATGAATATTCGTCCTTGATTTGATGCCATTTCAAGGACGAAAATTATTATATCCGCTCCAACAGGAAAGTCTAAAATTTATCAAACTAAAATTGTACAATAAAATAGATATTATTTTTCTTTTTTTTTTTAATCTTTTTCCGGGTTGTGACAGTAATAAATTAATATTCCACGCTTTAACAGTAGAGATCAATTTTGTGGAAATTAAATTGGAGAGGGGTCACATGTCGAAATGAGTCAAAACAATGTTGTTTGGTGGTCTTTGGATCACACTCGCCATTGATGATCATGGATCCATCGTTGAATAACTTGAACTCTATATTCATACTTGGCTGGCTGCCTCTTATTTATGTAAATTATTAAAACTCTTTTAATAGATCAGTGTGGAAGTACAGTAAATGGATATTTGTAATTCTATCCCGACTGATATTAACTCTTGTGGAAGTAAATGCATATTTGTAAGTTGTAACACACTAACATTTTTATAAGGAATTTTTTCACTCTCTCTCAATTTAATTTTTTTATTTTTATTTTTATTTTTATTTTTTGAAAAAGACCCGCTCTCAATTGATTTAGAAATGTCTATAATTCCGTGAGAAGAATTAATTATTTATTGTTATTGGCGAATAGACATGATATCTGGCATGATTTTGCTTCTTTTGTTTGCCTTTCACCCTTAAATTTTTAATTTCCAGAATTAGGTGTGGAGTAAATGTCATAAAATGTCTATAACTTCCATAAAGTCCAATGGTAGCGAGCCATTATATATATATATATATATGTATATATACTTGTTCTCTTATCGTATAAGTAGAGACATAATTTTTAATTATTATAATACTATTACAGCTCTTTTATACTTATTTAATAATACACACGATATCGTATTCTTCAAAATAAAAAAAGTGATGACCTTTTCTTTTTCCCCCCCTCTTTGTTTGTTTGTTTTTCAACGTGGGGATGAAATTGAAAATTCAGGATATGGCCAAAAGGCATGGAATTACCAGCGTGGAAAGGTCACCGAGTTGACCAATTGAGGTTGCGTAACTGGGTTTTACTACACAAGTCCCATTTTGATCTTCCCAATTGATTGATTGATTAATGGATTATTGCCTCCAACTGCCCCCATTCCATATTTAAAATTAAAAAAGTAAAGATAATTCCTTTTGTTACTAGTAATTATTGTCCAGTTTGGATTTTTATTTCTAGTTCAAATTGTATTAAAATTGAAATTTCAAAGTGTACAATAATTTTGAGACAGAAGGAGTATATAATTTTCTCCTATAGATTTGGGGATGGTGGGCAGTACCACTCTTCCCCCATAGACTTTGACGAAAATAAGTGTGGCAAATTATTAGTAATATATTAAATCAGGGGACAGTATTACGCCCACACGACATTATTATCTTATAAAGTTCATCGCCGTTGGTCTAAGTCGGAGAAAACGATCGAAAACGAACTTTTGGGTTTTGGAAACCTTTTTTCTACCTTTTCTGAGATCCGATCAAACGGTATATTGCAAATGTCCAATAGGTCGGCAAGTAGTTTCGTACTCGGTACTCCACATCCTTTTTTTTTTATAATTATTTTTATTTGTTGGGATAATGTGTTCAAATTTAATACTCATGTCGTGTTCTTTTAATAACCTGTTTTATTCGTCTTAATTATTATTAGTACTCTCAAGAATCATTCAACCAATGTATTGATGTTAAAACATCAATCAGTCAATGTATATAGTAAACATATCTTCTGCCTGAAAGGACAGATGTGAATCTCTAGGGGAGATGTTTGACTGGGTTAATTAATCAGGGGGTTGAGAAAAAAATCATTTGGGAAAATAATTGTTGACTGAAATCAGTCATCAGGTTATTATCACATTCTTATTAAAAAAAAACATCAACTTTGTTAGAATAAGAAGATCAGCAAAACTTAGAAATCAATGCACAATCCTACGTTTTGACGTTAATGCACAGCTATCATAATCCACTTTGTTAGAATAGAAGACGTAATATGTTCCAAATTTCCAACAATTTGAAGATGAGATCAAGATTCTTAACTGTGTTTCAAGAAGAATTCTAGTTCTCATGATAGATTTGCTTGCTGTAATATCAAGATAAGAATTAAGTAATTTATAAATTTCAAGCACAATTTTCTGAATTTTGGGTAGTCTGTTTTCATTGGTTGACCCGGGGGTATGGAATTTGTTAAGTCTTCTTTAAGTGTACTACTTCAGATTAATACACAATGGGTATCATTGTTAATTTATTTATTGCACCCTTCAAAATTTTAATGCATTATTCATGAGACTGCATTATGGCCTCTGTCCCTTTAAACTTTCGAAGTTGACAAGTTTCTCAATGAATGAATACCTTACTAATGTCTGAGGTTTGCAGAAATGGCAAGACTACAAGTTTACTGGCACTCGAAGCCCATCATAACTGAGTTGCACATCAAGTCCTTCAGTTTCCCCCAACTTCACCAGATCTTCAGTCACTTTTTCGTGATCCATCAGGTGCATCATGCCGGTGAAAAATGTCTTCTTCGGTTGAATTTTCCTTACTTCTTCCAATGCCTGTAATGTCAGGGTGTTAGACACAACGACCAAAGCAATAAGGTATAACGAAAGTAATGTGGCTTGACTAAATAACTCACCCTAGGAAGTCCAAAATGTGTTGAAGAAGATCGATCCGGCCTAAGGGCGTCCTAGAAACAAATAACAACTTAAATTATGATTTTGATCAGGATTGTTCACTTCTCAGTGTGGGAAGATGGGGAACATACAAATGTAAAAAAGAAAGGGGATCAAAGAACTGACCAAAATGAGAAGATCACAGTCCTTCAACAGTGGATAAGTTTCTTCGGGTATTTCACTGACATCACTGTATAACAATCCAAGAATGATTAGCTAAGTTTTTCCTTAGCAATAAAGCAAATTTGCAGAACTCATACCTAATATAGCAAATATTGCCAAACCGAAATCCCAGTGAACGGTAATTCTTCCCGTGCCAGACTGGTAAAGGAGTAATCTGGGGAAAAGAAAAAAGGAGACAAAATCAAGACCCTCAACAACTCATCGTCAAAGAAAAATGGCAGTAAATAGTGAACACCATAATATAGTGACGAAAGCAGACAACAAACGAAAGCCAAATTCCAAAACAGTAATGATTTTTGTGACAGGAGAGGCATTACCGTTTTCCATAAACCACTCAAGATATGAACAAATGGGTCAAAGAATTTCTCACCTTAAGGTCATGAACTGTAAAAGGTTCCTCGTTTATAATGTTGAACTGCAACTCTGACACAGCAGCGCCAGGAATAATAACACTAGTATCGACCAAATAATAATGAGTCTTCTTCATCACCTGATTTTATAGACAAAAATGGGGAAAGAAACCCATAAGTATGTCATGTATCAACAATGCCAATTAAAGACAGCAGGAGAAGAAATCTATTTTGTTCCAGGGATCTGTTAGAAGCTAGTTGAAGTACAATGTGAAGTTTGAACCTCAAAGTCACGCTTCGCCACATAAATTGGAATATGGGGCTGAACATTGTTAGTCCAATCACGAAGATCATCCAAACCTAAATGAGATTACCAAAAAAAAAACAAACTCAGAGACTCATTCCATTTAAACATGAAAGAAAACATAGCAAAATTATTTAGCATTCAAATGAAAAGCATTCATGTCAGGACCTCCAATTGCATCAGCATGAGAATGAGTAATAATAACCGCATCAAGATTTCTTATCCTGATAAACATGAGAACTAGTCACAAAATGGCAAAAGGTCTAGTCATATAAACAAGAATACAGTGAAGTTTGAAATCGTTACATTGTTCACTTAATACAAAGAAGCAACTAACCACAGAATCCTTATTTAGTTCATAAACAACTTTTACAGAGGCAGAGTAGTCAAAAATCTTTAAGTAATCAGTAGAGAAGTTAGAGAAAGTTGAGTTAAATACATGAGGCAGTTCTCCGGCAAATCAAAATCACAGACATATATCCTCCAATGTTCATTTTCGCCAGCACCTTTATCAAGAAAAGCATAACCTTGGTCCTAACAAAATTTCCGGTATCGTTGAATAGTTCTCTATGTAATTGAATCAAATACTTCATAAGCAATCAGCAAACTGAAAAATAACATGCAAGACTCAACAGAAGTTTCAAGTAAGTTTTCATTCTACACTCAACATCAGATTCTACACTACCTAATTAGAATAGTTAAGCGCGTTTCAAAATGCAGGCGCCCATCAAAATTATATGAGAAACCAACCTCTGGTTATAAACTATCATACAAAAGAGTCTCATTAGTCATGACCACAACAAATTCCCTACACAAATCCAGTAAGAGGCAGCTTACCCATAAGTAGGGAACCATCTTAGAGCACTATGGTAGAAGAACCTGCACAAGAAATAAATTCTCTCTTCAAAAGAAATCCAATGCAGACCATGACATGTATATATCGAACAACCATCTTTTGAGTAGTACCGAAAGATCTAAAAAAAACATCATATACAAATCCCTACCTCCACATATAAATAGAATTTAAGGTTCCTTTCTTTTTGGCATCACTTATCCATTGCTTACACCATCTAAATCAATCTTATACAACTACTAATCTGAATAATTTCCCTCCTGAAGAATAATAACTAAGAAAGGTTGTTACATACTTGCCAGCATCTATGAGAACGTTGTAATTTCCAGTCGGCCTGGAATATCGAACAAGTAAGCTCGTATTAAGCCTCCTGTTTTTGTTTCCAGGTTCTGTGGCTTTTGAACAAACCTACAACATACAAACTGTCAGTATCACCGCCATAACAAGGAATATTTCAACAATCAACTGAGAAATAAGCACAAGTTCAGCAGAGTCAATTCACATTACCGGACAGATCTTTGTAGGATGCGTGAGACAGCTCACACGCGGGATTCCTTCACTTGTTCCCGTCCCAATAAATATAATTTCAGGCTTCTGAGGTGGCACTTGAACCGCATCTTTTTCTGAGCCTGCAAAGCTTGTCATTGTTACCGAAAGCTTAAGAAATCTTTGGCATCTGAGGGCTACATTGCAAGCTCCAAAATCAATTTCATAAGAGATAAATGTTTGGCTTGAGAAGCAATATAACCATTTTCCTCAATGACATCAAGTTTTAAGAGTAGCTTTACAGCAGAAGGGACATTGTAGTGCATCCAATCCCTTACAAACCAACAGATAGAACGCAGACTAATCGATTCTGATACTCAGTTACAAAAAAAAAAAAAAAAAATCCCAAAATTGTACTTGGACAAGAATACAATAAAATGTAAAAATTTCCGAAAGATATGCATTCACTTACATAACAATCAAATCCAACTTCTAATAATCGAGGTTAAAACTTCAACAAAACTTAATCACATTTATTCAACAAGTAAAATTTACAATCCACAAACAAAAACATCATCTAAAAATCACGTGTTAAGGACGAATACTTACTAGCACTGGAATGGAGAGAAGCCTGGAGGAAACGGTGGAAACGGGGAACCCTATCTCGTTGGACGGCAGCAAATGAAGCATTTTTCCGAATGGGGAAAATTTGGCGGGTGGTGGAGCGGGTGATATAGAGAAGGGAAGAAGGATTCGGCGGGTGAGGCCGAGCCATAATTCCCAGGAAAACTACCATTTTTTCCGAATAGCTCAGGGATGAAACAGGCAACGGGAATTGGTATAAAAGCGCCTTTTCAGCTTCAGGGGAACATTTCGATTCCGGGAAGAAAGTAGGTAGCTTTTGCCTTTTCAGGTCGTTCTGTTGTAAATTAGAGAGAATATTCGGGTATTTATGTCAGCAAAACTAAACTAAAGGCCCCAATCTCCAAATTATAAATATAATTTTTCTTAAAAAGAAAAAAAAAAAAACTAATTAATCCCAGGAAATTGGAATCCGACCCGTTATATTTTCAGAAGATGGGCTTTTAATTTTCCGGTTTCCCGACCCGTTTAACTTCTTCCACCGCCGGTGCTCTCAACGCCGCCTCCACCTCCACCTCCTATTTTTTAAATACGCGGCGTCCACCTCCGATCTCAGTACGCCGACCGACAATATCTCCGGCCTTTTTGCTAGCGTCCGAGGCTTCCCCTCCGAGGAAATTCTTTCTTCTAAGGTATGTACGCTTACTGTCCTCCTGAATAAGATTAGGGCTCCGAGGAAGGTTCATTAGGTATTTATCATTTGTTACTTACCTAACATTATTAGTAATCGTTGGTGATTTCTTTTAATGCTTTCATTGGTAGCTCATCCGGTATTCCGGCTGATACAATTCTTAGGTTTATTACGCATTGTGGACGAATTTATAATCAATGTTTTTTGTTGCTGTAAAGGGGAGATATTGCTTTTGTCTTATTCGGCATCATATTCCATTTTCCTGATCAAAATTGCCTTAGTTAATTGTGATATTGTTAAGGTTTCTGCAGTATTGTGTATAATCTTGTGTGTTGGATTTACAGTGAAAAGTCTGGTTCTCGAATTTCATTCGGGAATTTTAAACAACTTGAATAGTTTGCCAGTTTGTTATGTGAGGAAATTACCTATACCTTGTTGCAGCATTGATTTTGGCTTTTCAAGCTTTGGAATTTCTAATATAAACTATGCTTTTGTTAGAACTGATAATTTATAGGTAATAACGGCTGGAAATTTACATTGTTGGCATGTGTATTGCCCTTTAAGTTTGATATGTGGTTTCAGCATTCATAGTTTTTTGACACGTTTTCACGTTTGGAACCAGGATTGGCTGAGGAGATGGTGGGTGCACCCTCTGCATCTTCCTCGCTTAAGGAGTACTTGAAAAAGTACCAAGATGGTAATGATGAAGTGGACAAAAAGAAGAAGAAAAAGAAGAAAGTCAAAAGTACTGTTAGTACCGGTGTTTTAGTAGTCGATGAAGATCCCAAATGGCAAAAGCCAGTGAATATTGAAGAAGAAGAAGTTAAAGATTCAGCGGGTGAGTTAATAGCTTTCTATTGTTTGATAGTTTCTATTACTTCAGAGTTTAAAATATTGTTTTGGTGACTAAGTGTGATTTGTTTTGTCAGATGAAGAGAAGCCCCAGATTGAAGAAGATATTGAAGTCAAACGAATGAAGAGGCTGGAAATGATCAGATCACGACGTCCTTTTGGTGCCATATCTGAGGATGGAAGTGGCTGGGTTTCAGTTTCTGATACTCCTAAACTTTCACAATCTACCAATGTGGTCTCTGATAGCTCACCACCACGGAGGAAACGAGCTGATACTCCTTCTCCAGAGCATAATCTAAAGCCGACAAATGAAACAGATCTTGACTTGTCACCTCCTCGCAAAAGTAGAGCTCGGAATGATACGCCCTCTCCAAAGCGTTATGTGAAACCTTCCAGTCGACCAGATGATGATCTGTCACCTCCTCGCAAACGAGGATCTCGACATGGTGCACCTTCTCCAGACCGTCGGAAGCCTACCAGTGGAGCAGATCTTGACCTGTCACCTCCTCGCAAACGAGGAGCATGGAACGATACGCCTTCCCCTGATCGTGAACGAGATCGTGACTTGTCACCCCCTCGCAAACGAAGAGCGCGGGCTGATACACCATCACCATCACCTTCTCCAGGTCGTGAAAGAAGGTCTACAAGAGCTGCAGAAGATCTGTCACCCCCTAGGCAAAAACAGAAGAGGTCACGACGACCAGACCGTGATTCCTCTCCATCTCCGGAAACTCGAAAGGTTTCAAAACCTGTAGTTTCAGACATTGACATGTCTCCTCCGCGACGTGTTCGTCAAGGTCATCCACGTGCCTCTCCAATGACAGATATTTCACCCCCAAGGAAAAGCAAAAATAATATATCTGTTTCAGATGAAGGCAAAGATGCACCAGGATCTCCGGGCTTAGACCTCTCTCCACCGAGGAAAAGGACTAAGGAACCAACCGCTTCAAGTCAGCGGGCGAAAACTGGTCTAGTTACTGGTCAAGACATAAAAGAAGAAATTGATAGAGCAAAGAAGGAAGACTTCCGGAGGTAATCATTTCAGTTGTACTTGCTATTTCTTTCTATTCCCATTTCTGTTCAGCCATTTTGCTTCATTACGCTGATAAACTTTCATTAATCATAACCCTACACAAACAAGGTTCAAAATAAATGAGGAAATCTGTTCTTGACTCTAAATATTTCTCCTTCACCTTCGAATGTATTACTTTGACTCTTCTGATTACGGTTTTCATAATGTTCCAGGTTTAAGGAAATGGATCCGTCTATAAGTGGCAGAGGTGCTGAACCTGTATATCGTGACAAAGTGACAGGTCTTGCTTGAGTAAACAAATGTTGTATTTCTTGATTTTTATTGCAATGTTCATGTCCTTACTTCTTCTTTTGTGCTTTATGCTGTTACAGGTGAGCGAATGACCAAGGAGCAGTTCCTGAAATCCCAAAAGAAGGAAGAAAAGCCCAAGGTAAGCTACTGTAATAGATTTGTATTTTCACATTGAGATAAGTCTTTAGTAATTCGAGGATTCCAATGCTTTTCTTTAATCAAAAAATAGATTCCATTCTGTTGGTCTTTTTCTCCTTTTTCGGTGGAAAAAATTGTTTGAGTGGATTAGCATTGGGGTTGTTTTGACTGGTCATTTTCCGTTTGATATCCTTATGTATTTAAAATATTTTTCATCAGGAAATAAAACTAGAGTGGGGCCAAGGGTTGGCACAGAAACGAGAAGCCAAAGCTAGATTGCAGGAGTTGGAACGTGAGAAAGATAAACCATTTGCAAGGAGCAGGTAGTTTGAGGAGACATTTCTTTTTGGTATTGTTTCTTTAGCTCGTTTGAAATAAACATATCTTTAGATTCTAACAAGTGCGCACGGTTTAATTGTTGAAGGGATGACCCTGATCTTGACAAAATGCTCAAGGAAAGAGTCAGGTTTGGTGATCCCATGGCTCATTTGGTGAAGGTAAGTTTTACATCGAACTCATTCCAGTAAGAGAGAGAGAGAGAGCTAATGGTTTGTGAACGTGGTAGCTGCTACAGTTGTAGATCTTTATTTGACTGAAATTTTTTTATTTTGAGTTTTCAGAAAAAGCACTCGGAGCCACTTTTGGAGGATTTGGGCAATGACGAGAAGATGAAGGAATCGGGATTTATAATTCCTCAAGATGTTCCAAGTCACAGCTGGATCAGAAGGGGAGTACATCCTCCAGATAACCGATATGGAATTAAACCTGGAAGACACTGGGATGGTGTTGATCGCAGTAACGGTAAATTCACTTCCTTGCTCAATTCCAGTTAATAGAAATAATGTAGACTATTTGATTCAGACGTTTTACTACCAAATCTTATGTAGTCTGTTTCTTGATCTTATACAACAAAATAGGATTTGAAAAGCAGATGTTCAAGAGGATGAACGAGAAGCAAGCTTCAGAGAGGGAGGCGTATCTGTGGTCTGTATCTGATATGTAAGGTATAACCAAAACCAAGTGCCTATGATACTGGGCAAATGAACATTTTTGTTCTTTTTTTTTTTTTTTCCGAGGAAAGGTGATCTGTAAATTTTCGTTAACTAGAGAAAACCAATACAAAGGAATATTACAATCAGCTTAGTGGTTGTTTTGAAGGATTTTGATGGCTTGTGTCTAATCATTGGGACATTCATTTTCCAACGTCCTGGAGAATCAATCACTACTAGATAAAAGAGTATTGCCTATCAAGTAAGGAAAGAATCTTGTGGCATCCGTTGACTTGGAATTGTGTAAGTCAAAAATTGTAGGGTTTACGTAAATGTAAAGTCTACCGTAGGACCAGGTGACCATCTGGGGTATGGAAATTGCCGAAACGTATTTGGATTGTAGGGTTGTGGGGTTTATATAGGTAGTGGCTCGAAGTTCTTTCAGCGAATTCTTTTGACAGTGGGGAAGTGCGAACACCATGAAGTTGATGAATTGAAAGTCATAAGTCAACCACAAATCCCCTCCATTTGTCCAGTTTCTATTTCACTTGTTTCTACATTTGTCCATAATGAAAGCGCTTCTGATAACCTTCAACCACGGACAAACTACATTTTATAGGTTCTTTACAATGGTGCGTCTGTAAGACACTTAAGCCGTCTTTGATTCCAGCTTTAAATTTCTATGATTGAGTTTTTTTATGGAGCCCTTCAAACTGAGAAAGACCAGAAGGGACCCCCCACATTCGCTTTCATTTGGTATATTCTTCCCTCCTCGTTTGACTTGACTTTTCTGCCTTGGCTAGTTCGCCAGTCTTTTCCAATTTCCACTGTAAATTTAAGGACCATTTCCCTATTAGAGGGGTAGCACAAAAATGGACCCATTTGTAGCTTATTGGACTTGCAGATCCAAATAAAAAAATAGATTCTTCGCTGTTGGGCCTATCTTAAATCCATTCCAGGAACAAAGCAACTTTCTTTTGATTGGTGAAATTCTGACGATTAAATTGACAAGTTTTCCAAGGGTAAATTACCCACAAAATAATTTGTTTTTACGAAATTCAAGAATAAAATTTACATAGTAACTTTGGCGTCTTAAAGTCAATGGTTTTTCCCCTATGCTCAAAAAATAGCTTGTGCTTAGAGTCGACCGAACTTTACAAATATTCCACTTCTATTGAGTTACTAATAATAACAACGTAGTTGTAGTTTCTTAAAAAAAAAAAAAAAAAAAATTCCCCCACGGGACGAAGGAATCCTATTTTTACTTCATAAGTTCATATAACATGATTTTAGGTTAAAGGATTTAATTATGTTGAATGAATGTAAGACATAACTAGACTGGTTTTTACCCTGTGACAACAGAGTTGAATCTTTAACAGACACTTAGGAATTGTAAATTAAATGTTAATCTCCAATAATTAAGATCACTATTATTTTTATTAATAATTTCATAAAGACTGACACTAATTTCCTCTTAGAAAAATATAAAACCGAGGACCGATGAGCTGGTAAAAGCATGTTTGTAACTTGGAGTTTGAGAGAGATCCCATTAATTCAACGGAAAAAGGAAAAAAAAAAATTAATTAGTGATTGATTATTATAAGTATAAACAGGAAGATGACAAAAATTCAGACATTTATTTACTTCTATCTTTGATTTTAATATTATCTTCCCATCTCGTTACTCATAAATTAATGCACATGTTATTAGGGCACTGCGACTTAATTCTTAGTTTATTAGTCGAAAAGGATCTGAATTAGATCCATACATTGTATGCTAATCACACCTTCTCTCTTTTGTCTTTTTTTGGGGGGTTACAATAATTTAAACAGTATGGTAAATTGAAAGCCACCCATTCGAGTTTGAGCAAAAAAATTTATAATGCACCTACCAAAGTTTCAAAAAGTAGAGTTGGTGCGTAGCTTTCAAATTTATTAAACTTTTTTCCCAAGCTTTTTATAATTATATATATATATATAAACTATATAAAACCAATATTCTATGAGACGTAAATGTGTTGAGAGTTTAAATGCTGATCACGGTGATAATTGACCGAATCATAAATCACTTAACTACAATATTCACAAAATGAGAGGGATATGTCAAGATTCTTGGAGTTTATAATAATGTACTACAAGTAAATCTTAATAGTAAAACTTTGAATTACTACTTACATAACATGGTTGTTGAGAATTTATAAAACAAAAATCATATTTATATTGACAAATGTATAGTGAAGAAAACCTTGATCAGGGTGATTCTTTCAATTTTATTGACATTTTCTTGTAAAAATTACTGTATATATTTTTCCCAAACAAATCACACTTTTACGTCTAATTATTACTCTATTGTTACTGTGTTTATAACTAAAAAAATATCAACGACGAATTCAAACTGCTCAGAGTACTATTGTTAGCTACTACGACCGTTGACTTATAATTGACCAACTAACATGCGTGATTCCTTCTTGATGGTTTTTTTTTTAAGTTGATCCAGTTAGAGTTCTAAAATATTGGCAACATGCAATAACTACTAAGTGCAGTTTGTCCCAATAATCATGACTTATCGTTTGAACTAAATAATGTTATAGTTGGAGACTCAGGAAAAAAAACATCATTCAAAAGACTAGTCAACCAATCAAACCATAAATTACTACGTACGTAGTAGAAGTATAAACTATAAAGTCCCTAACTCAAGAATGATTTTCCAACGGAATTATGTCACATCATTCAACTTGGCTTATCTTACCCCCAATTTTCCCTCTCCCACTAAAACTAAAAAAATTCTTTCTACTGCAAAATAGATTGTTTCCTGTCATTTCATTGTTCTATTTCAAGAGAATTCCAGACATAACTCGATTTTTACTGAATTAGGCTTTCGTTATTGACAGTCCATTCATGTTTAACTATTGCTGTTCCGTCCCAAAATAATATCGTTCTAATTGGACTATTTCAGTGTCACAATCTAATTTTAGAACATGATGCTACACATGAACAAATATTATGCAATAATTAGTGTGAAGAATCTAAAAAAATTTGAGCTGTCTTTAATGATAATTAATCAAATAGATCATCATCATGATGGCCTTTCTGACTGTTCTTTTGTATTATTGCAAATCAAAGGCAAAAAGGGCCTCTCTCTTTTCTTTCCTTTTCTTTTTCCCCTCTTGTATTAAACAGAAAAATGGGAAGTGGTCAGAAAGCTCTGATCAGATGTTTACAGTTTTTTTTTTTTCCAATAAAAAAACATTTGAGCTTTACTTACTGTACATGATAATGAAATGATGGAGGAGCAAACACATTGAAAAAGTAAATTTGAAGATATATAAAAATTGCTTTTAGGCATGAGGCTTGTCTCTCTTAAACAAGTTAATCAATGGCTCAATCATGTTACTGTAAAAAAAAATAAAAATTTCAGAAAAGCTTTTGATCATCTGGGGTCTACTGCTAAAAATCACATTTACAAATTGCAAGTTCCCATCTATCCATCATCATCATCACCAATTAGAGCTCAAAAATAAAATTTTACAAATCAAACATCTCTGTCTCCCATAAAAAAAAAAAAGAATTAAAGAAAAAATATATATAAATTCAAAACCATGGCTGGCCTGACTAGCTCTAGCTGCCTTTTTTTCCTTTCTTTTTGGGTTTGGTTTGGTTGCCTTTTTTATTAAGACGCAAAAGGGTTGTAAGAAAAATTTGAACTTTGTGAATAAAAGCAAATTGCAAAGAGGAGAATTATAAAAAAGGGGGAAATAAAAAGAAAGAAAAGATGAGATTTTTCTGGGCTGGGAAGAGAACAAAGGAAAAGACAGAAAGTGGACGTCAGAGTTAGCCGTAGGAGTGTGTGTGTGTGTGTGTGTGTGTGTGTGTGCATTTTGCTAGAGTTTTGCAGAGTGATATCCTTCTTCCCCTTTCTTCTTTCTCAACCACATCTCTATCTCTCTCCTTATCTCTCTCTCTCTCTCTCTCTTGCAGAAAAAAGATGTACTTTTTTTTTTTTGTGTTGCCAAGCTCAAAGTTTTGAACTTGTTTTTTTGGTCTAGTCTAGTTTCCATTTGTTCTTTTATGCGTGGGTTATAATTGGATTTTCTTGGTTTTGCCAAGGAAAAAGCCATTGAATCATGGAAACTGTAGCCTGTAGTGGGTGAAAGAAAAGGGTTGTCTATATTGTCTTTCTCTCTTCTTTCTTTTTCTGTTTTTTTTGTTCTTTCTTTTTTCTTTGTTTTGTCAAAAAAACAAAACGTTGTCATTTGGGTTGGTGCCAAACTTGAAGAGAAACCAACAGGAGGAAGAAAGCAAGCAGTTTTGTTTTTTGAAGGTTTCTATGCCAACTTATATACCTGGATTCTCTTCATCACCTTTCTCTTTGTCCAGTTTCTCTTACCTTTCACTAGTGTTGTCTTTTAGATCTCTCTCACACATGATGGAAACTTTAGATTCTTAGGAAAAGTGTCTTAGTTTGCTGATGTTAGCTTCATCCTATAATCAAATGATGAAAAGTGGTATGATATTAGCCCAACAACAGCAGCAACAACATCAAACTCAGTCTTTTGTTTTGGAGGAAAACATGTCCAATTTGACTTCTGCTTCTAATGAAGCAAGTGGATCTTCAGTCAGCAGAAATGACAACAGTTACCAACAACAACAACAGCATCAATATTTTGCACCCCAAAATCAACAATCTCAAGTCATCAATCAACCACCACCTCAGCAGCCAGCTGCAGCAGGGAAAAGGAAGAGAAATCTACCAGGCAATCCAGGTCTTGTTATAGCATAATAAAGATTTAATCTTTTTTGAATGTCCCTTTTTCATGGCTTATGATTGATATCTGAGATTAATGAATCCTTGAATAATTGGTTCAGACCCTGAAGCGGAAGTGATAGCTTTGTCACCAAAGACCCTTATGGCAACAAACAGATTTGTGTGTGAAATTTGCAACAAAGGGTTTCAGAGGGATCAGAATCTGCAGCTACACAGGAGAGGTCATAATCTGCCATGGAAGCTGAAGCAAAGAGCAAATAAAGATGTGGTAAGGAAGAAAGTGTATGTGTGCCCAGAAACAAGTTGCGTCCACCATGATCCATCAAGGGCACTTGGGGACCTCACAGGAATCAAGAAACACTTTAGCAGAAAGCATGGGGAGAAGAAGTGGAAATGTGACAAATGCTCAAAGCGGTATGCAGTTCAATCAGACTGGAAAGCTCATTCTAAAACCTGTGGCACTAGGGAGTACAGATGTGACTGTGGAACCCTCTTCTCTAGGTAACTAACTCTTTTTTATTATATATATACTCTTTTGAAACTCCAAGAAAATTATGGTAACAAAATGTCCAAAGGGTTATGGACAAAAACTACAATTTCAGACCACTGAGGATGATTCATTTCATTCTCAAGAGTACTATTCTTCACTAAAAGAAAAAAATAAAATAAAATGAAACTATCGTGACTACGAAATAAATGGCAAAAGGAAGAAATTCAATGTCAAACTTCAAATCTATAGTACTGATGGTTTATTAAATTGCCTTTCCTACTACTTTTTTGCATTTTTTCTGGAGTCTAGAGGATGTAGATGTTTTAGTATAGGGAGAATTATTGATTTCAACATATGGCATCCTCGATTGAAGTTGAAGAAGAGTTAAAAAAATGTGGTCATAACAATAATCAATTGGTGATTTGGTTCATTTTTTGCTTAAATTACTGTTTTTGTTTGATTTTCAAAGGAGAAAAACAAAGTCACGAGTCCCACTCATCAGATGCTTCATCCAAAGTATGGATTGGCACTAAAACTATAGTAACATATGTAGCACAACATCGACTTGTGCAATTATCTTGGCGTTTTGTGTACTGTTTACATGGTTTGTTTGCTTCTTCCTTCTTTTGAGTACTTTTTCTTCTCATTCTTGGCCTTATAAAAAAAAATTCTCAGGAGGGACAGTTTTATCACACATAGAGCATTCTGTGATGCATTAGCAGAAGAAAGTGCCAGAGGAATATCATCTTCATCAATCAACAACATTCCGGGCGGTGCCAATCATCATCAACTTCTCATCAACTCATCCCAATCTTCAGCTACATCCCATAGTACTAATCACAATGGAAACAACAACATTATCAATCCTAATAATATCCCTCTTCAACTTCAACACCACCAATTGATCAGCAGAAGCAGCCAAGAAATGCCACCCCATTTGTTCTCCTTGAAAAAAGAGCCTCAGACTTTCAATTTAAGGCATGTGGAAATCCCGCCATGGCTGGCATGTTCTCCGGCCTCCGCCGCCGCCTCACCCGGCGGCCCTGGCCCACCACCACCACCACCAACATCAACAATGAATCAAGAATCATTCCCAGAGTTTCTGGTCCCACCACCAATGAGCAGCCATGAAAACCCTAACCCTAGTAATCTCAGAGGACCTAACCTTCCACCATTTCATCCAGCAGCTTCATCACATATTTCTGCAACTGCATTGCTGCAAAAAGCAGCCCAGATGGGAGCAACCATGAGCAACAACAACAACAAAACAGGGCATGCCTTGCTGTTTGGGGCCCACCAGGGGCATCACGTGTCTGCTGATTCTGGCAACAACAACAACAACAACAACAACAACAATAATAGTACTTCTTCAGCAACAAATGGTTTTGGTCTGAATTTGTCCTCACGTGATCAACAAGAGTTGGTCAATGGGTTGGCTGCCTTTGGGAATAAAGCTGCTGACTCTGCAGGAGGTGCAGGGAGTACAGGAGATGGACCTCCTCCAGTGACTTCTCATCAATCTTTCCTTCAAGATATGATGATGGCTTCTTCTACTGGATTTGGAGAAGGGTCAACTTTCCTAGATCATCACCATCATCATCTAGGATTTGGTGGGATTTTCATGAACCCGAAGAAAGATTCAAACTTTATGACTAATTCCCCATTTTCCAAGACTTCTGATGCTGGTAATGCCGGAAATGATGGCATGACAACAAGGGATTTTCTGGGTTTAAAGCCAAGTGAATTTTTCAGCATAGCTGATTTAGGTAATTGCATGAGCGATGCTACAAAGCATCATCAGGATTCAAGTCATCATCATCATCATCATCATGATGAAGAAGAATCATGGGAGCAGCAAGGTTAGAATTTGATCAAGTTTTTGGCTGGCCTTAATTAATCTTTTTGGTTTAAGCATCTGAAGGATGATCTCATCAGACAAGAAAGGTTTCTTCTTTTTTTGGTCCAAAGAGAAGGGAAAATATGTTCATATTACTTTGGAAACCCTCAACTCTATATCTAGATAGCTAGCAAAAGAATTAAGCAGCTAGCATTTTGCATAGATCTTTTGAAAGGTTAATATATGCACTTAATTCTTATTACATACTAGTTCGATGTTCAATTTTTGGATCAATCTCAATGGCCAAGGAAAAAAGGAACTGTTCTTTTTAATATTATCTAATTCTAAAGTTTATATGAAGCAATATATATATATATATATATATAAATCTGAAATTCTAGTTATTAAAAATTGGAATATAGCTAGAGTCCCTCAAGAAATTTGACGTGGGAAACCGAGAAGAAAATTCGTATAATTAGTAGATGAATTTCACTTTGGTAAGATATATATGGATTTTGCATGATGTTGGGCTAACTTGCATGGTACTATGATTATAATGGTTGGTAGTTTTTAAGAAAAAAAGAAAAAAGGACTGGAATCATTACGTACGTCTAAGTCCTCCACGTTCAGGAGGGTCAATACTCAAATAATTCATGTGAGTTTGTAGGGCTCCCAATCTGTGTTATCTGTCTGGTGAAAAAAAGTCAATCTAATAAATGAATAGATTTGGGAACTGAATTTAGACTTTGGGATTTCAAATGGTACTACATATGAATGATGATGATGATTGGCCGTAATCCTTACTCATATCACGACCATTTTTTTTATTTTTTATTTTTGCAAAAAAGCACCACTAATTACCTAATCACTCATAAAACTCAGTGATAACAATTTCTGAAGTATAAACACATTCTTCCCTTCGATTGGGATGCAAATTAAAACGTTCTGTAAATAAGATCGGAATGAATATAATTAAGGTAACCCGTAAAATTAATTGTTTCTATTAACCTTTGACATATATGAATAAACTTTGATGGAGAAGGTGAGGAAGGTGTATGTGAGGATATATATTCATGTTGAGAGTGAAAATTTTAAAAGAAAATGCATAGGATTCTTTATTACTCCCTCTGTCCCAAAATTATTGTCCAGTTTGAGATTTTACTTTTAGTACAATTTGAACTAAAAATGAAAATCGAAACTGGACAATAATTATGGGCGGAGGGAGTATATGTTATTATGTGAATTGTTGAATGGCATGGGGGGGAAAAGGGGAGAAAAAAGATTCTCAAGGGAAAATGTGGTTTTGAAGTGATCGAGATTCAGAAGAGATGGGGAAGTTAGCTGAATTTGGATTGTGGTGTTTTGAGTTCTGCTGAAAAGAACCACCCAAAAAAGAAAGATGAAGAGAGATGCTGTTTGTTCTTTTGTTTTGACCCACCCACCTGCACCCCAACTCTTTGATTCAGACACAATCCCCCCATAGAACAGGCTCCACTCTTCCCCAATGTCCTTCATCAATTCGGTTTTTATTTTTTTAGCAATTTAATTTGTGTGTTTAAAAAAATGTGTGTAATCGAGATTACAATAATTGTTGCAAAGTTAATATGATGAGATTAAGTTTAGTTAACATGATAGTGATCATAAGCGAGACGATTGCAATTGAATATGTTGATTTCGAATCACCAGCTAAATAATTGGTTCGCGTTTTTTAATTATTGATGATTAAAGCCCAAGAGATGAATTAGCCACAAGAAAGTACCAAGTTTTCTCATCATCTGCAAATATTTCTCATTATGATTGAGATGAAGATTAACTCATCAAGTGGTGAAATGCCAAGTACTCTAGCAGTGTAGCTAGTAACAATGCAATGTGCCTAATTAATTGGAACAAAAAAGAAAGAAGAAATTACTATGATATTGCTTCAAGTTAGGTCAATTTCCTGTACCTTTCAAAGTAATGCATGGTGGCTGAGGATTATTGAATTAATTATTTACAACATTTATGAAATTGATGATCATATAAAGAGTGTGCGCATAATTTCGTCAGGCACCATTTGCCCTCGATTAATTAATAATTTAGAAAGCAGAGATCCAAAACCGATTAGTTTTATTATGGTACAGAGAACCATTATTCACCAAACAAAGATTCCTCTTGGTGGAAAATTTAAAAAGAAAATTATAAACTAGATAGCTCATGTTCATCTTAAATATATATTTCGTTTGAGTCAGATACAAACAAAACTCAAAGTCAGATTCTCCACATTTTGTATCTCTAATGACAGATCCTTTTCATCTTCTGTGAGGCAGATTAATGGTGAACCCACCTTCTTAAAAAGGCTTAACCTTTCTCTAGTCACCATCCCAACATCTCTAATCAATGCTTAATTGTGTTATTAACAATTTATTTCCCTATCAAATGCTTGTTTAATTTTTCTTCTCGTTGATGTACATTATAACTTCAATTTCATGTATTGTTTTATTTATTTATTTATTTTTTGGTTTAATAAGTTGCTTCGAAGTTCATCATATCATATAAATTGTCAATATATACGACAATGTTGGATGATAGTTGATAATTCTTGCATGTAGGACAATTGTTGTTGATCAACATAATCCGCTAACCAGAATATATAGCCGTGGATTTGTCCGAAATGTCAACCGATAACGCAATTCTCAGATTCTCAAATACACTAATTAAGGACAATATATATGTGGAATTTCAAGTCCTTGGTTTTTATCCATATGAAGGACAGAAAATGGCAGTCTTTTTCCATGGGAAGCATTATTACAATTTTGCGGGGACCCTAGTACTACTTCTGCATGCTCCACGGGGTTTTGGGAACGCTTTGAAAAACCCTCCTTCAAATGATTGACCTTTATGTATATTTTGGTGTTCCATATTATTACTACCTCCATTTCAAATTACTTATGGTAAATTCACACTTTCTTTTTATCTGTCGTTATTTTTTTTCCAATGTTGACTTAATTTATTTATTTTTTTCCAATTTTAACCCTTTCTCTTACCTCCATTAATTTCAAGCATTATTGAAATAGAAGGCAATTACTCCTTCGAAGATGAGATAATTGTATAGTAGTTGGATGATTAAATGAAGGTAAGAGAGGAATTGTATTGTTAAATTTAAGTTTCAATCATTATTTTCTTAATTCACGTGCATACCCTAATGTGCGACAGGTAATTTGAAATGGAGGTAGTACTTGACTAATCTGAATTCAAACCGAGTATATTTATCTCGCGAGAAAAAACATATTGTCAAATTATTGTAGGAGATTTTAGAGTTCGAACTATGATTATACTTGAAATTTTTGTCTGCCTACTTGAACCAACTACCAAGTAGTGCTTGGTAACAATTTGTAGCAAGAAATTTACATTAAGAGCAACATGATTCTTTTCACACCAAAAAAACAAATGATTCCAATTTCAATAATAACATTGACTAGCTGTAATGGTTATCGGGCCTGTAAACTTCCACTTAATGGCCCAACTGAGGAAAAACCCATTTGAACCAAATGCAATATACAAGAAGCCCAAACAAAGAAGGTTTAGCATCTAGCAATGATACATTTGAAACTAATCTTTTGTCTATTGGCTTCCAGAAGAAGAATTTAGGAAAAATATCAAAAGGAATGATGGATGATCATAAAAGTAAAATGATAATGTCTTATTGGATTATCATAAAAGAATTACTGTGAGCTTTCTTTAATTAATGTCTTATTTTATCCCAAAGTTTAAAAACATATCATTTTCATCCCAAATTTTTTAAAATTATGTAATATTAGGACATTTGTTAATTTTTTTAAATTATTAACGGCATATTTCATTCAGTTTCTTTTCTCTCATTTTTTTAATCAAAAAAGTTTCATGCTTGCGTTTGGTAAATTTGGTCCATGTCAAGTAAAAAAGTTACATGTCTCTGCATCAATTACAACACTAATTTTTATAGATGTTATATATTAAAAAAATAAATGAAATAGGGCTTACTATCTAATTAGGACACACACATAACCTCTCATTATTGTAATCAATCTAGAATCACCTAAAACATCAAAACTAATAAGAAAGCTAACCATGTCAAGAAAGAGGTTGAGTAAAGAAATTCCCAAATGGGTTACGGTGAATTGAATAATCCAGACATAAAGAGTAGTAGTAGTAGTAGTAGGCTGGCCATTAGTTCCGGTGTCATAACCAGTAGCCGGAGTAGAAGACCACAGCCAACACCGGCGGCTTCCGGGACAAGTACCAAGTTATTAACAATGGCAAGAAACCGTAAAAACGCTATGTTGTTATCTTTGATCACTCTAGTTGCTTTGGGAACATTAGCTCAAGTCTTTGGGCCGTTGCCCCCTTCTTCTTCATCCTCATCATTCTTCCCTCATTCTGATGAATTCATCAAGGATTCCACCCACATCAGGAAAAGGGTGAGCACAACCCACAGAACCCTTTTACTTTTTGGAAGTTATGAAGTGCTCTTAAAATGCTGATATTTGGTATAATTTGGTGTTGTGAAGTTCTTAATTGTTATTTTCCTGGTGCTCTGGTTTATAATATGATCATCTTGGGCAATTTGATGTTATGAGGAACTTCTCTGTTGTGTTTTTGGTGTTCTGGATTGATAGGAAACTGACATTGGGGCATAATTTTGAATGTTGGTGATGTGACCAGAATCATGGTCCTAGGTTTGAGATTGCTGAAGATAAGTTCTGGAAGGATGGGGAACCGTTCAGGATTATTGGTGGAGACTTGCATTATTTTCGGGTTCTGCCTGAGGTACTTTTACTCTCATTTAGAGTAAAAAGTTGCATATTTTGGATATATTCCGTAAGAGCATGCTTTGTTAGCACTATCGATTGAATGAAGAAGTTCTGCCACATTGTAATAAGGTAGTTAGAGATGGGTAAACGTTGGGGAAATGGTAAAATGAGGAAAAACTACGACTATCAGAATGTCAATAGCTGATTATTGAAAGAAATAATATGCTAGAAATGATAAATACCTTCAGCTTTAAGGGCGTGTTACATAAAGGAATGGCCTCTCCACAAGTACGGTAATCTCTAAGGCGCACATCGTGCAGTTCCCTAGTTCCCCTCAGAATTTCTCTATTGTTTAGTTTCATATACAGTAGAACTGGCCAAAGGCAAATGTTTGGTGAAATTTTGCTCTAGCTGCATTATTGTTGTTTCGCTGTATGAGCTAAATTCTTATTGGAAGCTTTATGATTCTAAACAATGAGCCACAGTACTGGGAAGATAGATTGACGAGAGCAAAGGCGTTGGGCCTGAATACAATTCAAACTTATGTTCCATGGAATTTACATGAACCGAGACAGGGTGAATTGGTTTTTGAGGGCATTGCAGATATAATTTCGTTTCTGAAACTCTGCCAGGAATTGAATTTGTTGGTTATGCTTCGACCTGGGCCTTATATATGTGGAGGTCAGTCGTGCCACTTTACCTTGAAGTTGTTGATTAAGATGTAATTTTAACAATGTATTGATGTGGAGCATCTGTTATTGAAACTTCATACTAGCACAGCCTTTCCCATTTGTTTTTTGTAGAAATAATTCCACTTGAAACAGATTTTCTGATACAGAGTGGGATTTCGGGGGCTTTCCTCCTTGGTTAATTGCCATAGAACCAGTTGTCAGATTGAGATCATCTGACCCTGCTTTTCTTAAATTTGTAAGTCCCTGAAACACTGTGCATTTATAACAGAATGCTATTTATTTCTTTAATAGATTCGTGTAAAAGGTATGGATGAGTATGTTATTGTTCCTGAAGCTTAACTCAACCTTTGATTCCTTAAGGGTCATAACTTACTGTTTGAATCGTGAGAGACTTCCAAATTGATTCCAAGAATCTCAACCCACCACCTTGTTGAAAAAGATGCATTGCATCATGTTCTGTTTGAGTAAACTTCAGATTAGAGCCTTTGTTATATGAATTGCAAGATATGATCACACAAAGTAAACTTCAGATTAGAGCCTTTGTTATATGAATTGCAAGATATGATCACACAATTGTAACATTCTCATTTACATCATTGCATTTGGTAAATGATTTCATTTGTTCAACTTTTGCACTAGGTTGAAAGCTGGTGGAACATACTACTTCCAAAAGTTACTCCTCTCCTATACACTAATGGTGGCCCTATAATTATGGTACAGGTTAGTTAACCACATCAGATATGGGTGGAACTAATTTTTTAATCCAACTTGATTATTACCATTTCCCAGTCTTCTTGTGTACACCATTACGTTTCACTTTGGGAGAAAGTTTCAATTTTTTGAAGTTTATGACATGTGACAGATTGAAAATGAATTTGGTTCATATGGCGATGACCAAACTTATCTGCATCATTTAGTCAAATTAGCAAGAGGACACCTAGGGAAAGATGTTATTTTGTAAGTTCTTTGTTGCTGTATTGCTGATGCCGTTGTGTCACATTTGCTTCAATTCTTATTAAAATCTCCCATGGATTTGAGAACAAATATGATATTTTAGTTACTGTTTTCAACCTGGTAATAGTTATGATAATGTGCAGGTATACTACTGATGGAGGTTCAAGAGAAAATCTAGAGAAAGGAACAATCGCTGGAGATGCAGTCTTTTCAGGTAATCTCTTGGGCCCGTGTCAAAACTTTCAACCCCTAAAACATGGGATCTAATGGAGAAAGAAAGAGAACCTAAGTTTGCTTTAGTTTGGGTGACTTTTGGACTGTTCTTGGTTTATTGACTGCAACATTAATATCTGAGTCTGTGTTTTTCTGTGTAGCCGTGGACTTCACAACTGGAGATGACCCAGGGCCCATATTTGAGCTTCAAAAGAAGTTCAATGCTCCAGGGAAATCACCATCCCTCTCTGCGTAAGACTTTGTTTTGTTCTTTTTTCCCTCTTTATTATAAGTATACACCAGCCCAGCTCATTATTTCTGTTCTTCAGTGAATTTTACACAGGTTGGCTTACACACTGGGGTGAGAAAATTGCTAGCACAAGTGCAACTTTCACTGCAAATTCCCTGGAAAAGATCCTGTCATTGAATGCATCTGTGGTGCTCTATGTATGGTTCTAAACTCAGCTTTCTCTCTGCTCCTATTGTTAATATCTGATGTTACTGAGTACTTTGCTTGTTACAGATGGCTCATGGTGGGACGAACTTTGGTTTTTATAACGGTGCAAATACTGGTGCCAATGAGTTAGACTATGAGCCTGATCTTACATCGTATGACTATGTGAGTGAGATTTCACTTGTTTTCTGTGCTTCTTTTCAATAAAACAATTAATAGTTGAAGAGTTCTTTCTTATCAAGCTTTGTCCTTTTCAAATTAGGATGCACCTATCAGAGAATCTGGTGATGTGGACAATGCTAAGTACGAAGGTGGGGGTAAATGTGATTTAAGACTTGAAACATTAAATAGATTTCTAAGAATATTGTTTTCTGCTTAATCTATCTGTGACGTTTGTGAGCTTCAAGTAATTCTCCTCTTTGAGGAGTTTATATACTTAATGAAGCTGCACTCTATTGTTTTCAGCTCTTCGAGATGTTATTTTGAGATACAGTTGGCCAACAAAAACAACGGTTCCTCCTGATAACAAAAAGGCAGCATATGGGCATATTAGGCTACATAAAGCAACTTTGCTCTTTGACATCATTGATAATGATAGCTCCTTTTCGGTGGTTGAATCTGAAAACCCACTGTCAATGGAATCTGTTGGTCAGGTAGTACCAATGAGCATTTTTACTAGCTTTACATTTTCGTTTCATGTTTCTCGTGCGATCCAACTGCTGCCTATGATACCCATTTGTGCTTAATTCGTGTTTCAGATGTTTGGCTTTTTGCTGTATGTGTCTGAATATACATCAAAAGGCGATAATAGCACTTTGTCCATACCAAAGGTGATTCCTTTTGTAGAGCTCTTTAATTTTCAGCTACATCGGATTCATTCCGAAGTTTCAATGGAAGTCCAAAAGGGAGCTATCTTCTCAACTGAATAAATTTTCTTTCTTTTTCTAAAAAAAGTACATAAACGTGCTTCCCAAAGGAAGAGCAATTTTTTTAGGCATTGCTTTTGAGCTTTGTCTTATGCATGACCAAAAAAGCACTCTTAACCGTAACCCACTTTTCAGGTGCATGACAGAGCCCAGGTTTTTGTATCATGTGCTTCTTCTGATGATGATAGAGGGAAAAGGCCAACTTATGTCGGCACCATAGCAAGGTGGTCAAACAGACCCATTCACCTTCCTCATAGTAAATGCGCTTCTCACCCTAAGATTTATATTTTGGTAATGATCTTTCTATTTTTTATTTTTACCTACATTTTGCCGTGAGTTATACTTCACTACGTTTAGGTTCCTAAGTGATGATACAGTTTCTTTCTCATTTTCGCAGTCTGCTAGTTATGTTAACCTTTTGAAGTACAAAAGTTCTCAAAATTTATCACAAAAAAGAAGCTACATCGTCAAATGCTTTTTGGTTCTTGTCTTCTTGATTGCCTCGTCTTTATTGAGTTCATGGGAGTGAAACTACTTTGACTTTGTTCACATTTTTCTGCAATTGCAGGTGGAAAACATGGGTCGTGTGAATTATGGACGGTACATGTTTGACCGGAAGGTGAAAATTTACCCGTCATTTTTTTGAGGTTATATTATTTGTAATGACTGCTCTTATTATGGGCCACTCAGGAGCCACTTTCTTCCAAGTTAGCCCATGTTTGTATTTAGATTTGTGTGTGTGTGTGTGTTTTTCTTTTTTTTGGATATAAGATTTGTGTGTTTAGCCTGGATTCTATTATCCTGTGTTTTGTGCATGTGAGCTATCCATAATGAATAAGTAGTTTTACTTGGTACCTATTTTAATTGGTCACATCACATGTGAAATCAATTTGTGAGATTAGTTGCCGATCAATTATTCTGTTTTGCAGGGCATCTTATCTCCTGTTTATGTGGATGGAAGACCTATTTACAAGTGGAAAATGTTCTCCATTCCTTTTCCCAACCTAAATGAGGGTCAAAATACTAATGTCCTTCCAGATGTTTATTCTAATTTCTTTGAAGCATCTTCGCACTGGATTTTGAAACATAAAAACTGTAAGTTGTTCTTGGACTCTGGAAACTATGTTTAGTTAAAAAAAGAGGGTGCTTTCTGATATCATTATCATGCAGGGGTTAGTTTGGAACCAACTTTGTACAGGGGTCAGTTCACCATTGACCAAGTCAGGGACACATATATCTCTTTCAATGGCTGGAGCAAGGGTGTCGCTTTTGTGAATGGTTTTAATATTGGTCGATATTGGCCGGTAAGTATACCTACGTCTTAGTTTGCTTTACATGTTCTGTCTTATGCAAATGAAAGCAGGATCTCCTGTTCTGTTTCTTGCAGTCTGTTGGACCACAATGTAGCTTGTATGTCCCGGCTCCAATACTGCAAGAAGGAGAAAATATTCTGGTACTGATGCCCTCTTTTGTGTTTGATTTAATTATGATGAATAATAGCTGAGAAAATTTGCATTCTGAATCCTGTGAGGTGTTTCATGGACTAGAATGCCGAATTCTCTGTTCCTTGTTAATAATTCGACTCACTTGAATGTATATTTAGGTCATGCTTGAGTTGGAATCTGCTAGCAATGATCCTTATGTCAGCTCAAATGATCAACCGGACTTCACATGCATGTCAACTGGGGCAAAATTGAACTAAGATGCCAATCTAGGAGATTGAAACTGTCAAGTTTGTATTTATCTCGTCGTGAACATCGCACGGTTGTACTTTCACAGGTCGGGGGTGAAGGGGAGGGAGAAGGGAAAGTAGTTTTGTCGTCACGTGGAATGCAATGTAACAACAAATACCTGTAAGATCCATTGAAGCGGATGAAAAATGCAGGGTGTATGTTGGTTCATAAATAAATCTGTTGATCCGCTTTTAGTCTTTTCCGGTTCAAAAATGTAAAGGGTGTTCGTATAAGTAAACAAAAAGAACAAGTGTAAAGCAAAACCCACATTCCAGCTGCAAAACAGATAACAGATATAACATGGAAAGGTCTGCAATACAAGGGATACCATTAGGTGCATCTTGCTCACCAAGAATCCAATGTCATCAAATCAATTGGACATTTGGGCATGCATGCCTTTCTCCATTAAAGCAAACAAAGAAAAATTTATTTCAACGTGTCTACACTACTAATTGGCAGTAAAAGTACAACATAGCAAGTCCAAACTTCCCACTCAATAAGAAGGGAATTCCTTGCTAAACAATAAGCTCATATTCAATTTGAAGGTTGCTTAGCACCTTCTTTCTTTTCCTGCTTTGATCCAATGGCTGCAGATGCTGCAGCTGTCATTGCGGCAGCGGCTGCACCTACTTTAACGCCGCCGGCAGCTTTCATTGCACCAGCAATTTTAGCAAATGCAGCGATTCCACCAACAAGTACAGCTCTGAGGGCAACAGTTGGTTTTACTGTCATATTTCTTGATCTGTAAACAAAAAGGCCCAATAAAGCTTGACGTAGCAATGCAAATTATCAGACACCTCAACGTTAATTGCACTCTAACTTACTAGGATACTTGAGAAGATGCTACACATACAGATTTTCTACAATGGAGTAATGAGTGGCTCAAAGAAAATTCTTTGCTGTTCTGATATGTAAAGGTAAGAAGGGGAGTCCTGGCACAGTGTTAAAAGCTGGCACGAAAACTAAGTCTGTAATAGAATTATGAGGTATGGTCACAAAGCCAATAAACACAATATGAGGAGCTCTCTACAGCTCTACTACATAAAGCCTTAGCACAAACTTTCTCAACCAAATACATGCCATAGTATCTCCGCATCTAGTAGTCCTTATTTCATTCTTACTCACACATAACGACAAGATACTCACCAAAAGATAAACAAATTTTCATGATGCTTAATATGCCTCAAAAACTTGTAAAATTTCACGAAACATGTAAAATCCACTAGGAACGCTAAAACGAGATGTAGTAACTGGAACAAGTCTCCTGCATTAGTGATAGTACACAAAGGCCTTTGCAGAATGAATGATGGCATCAGACGATAGTTAGGAAACCTAGCCAAATGCGCGAAAGAACTGAATTCCATTCTCTTCCATTCACTTTCTTTAGCACTTGAGCATCGAAATTTCAGAAAGAACTCCATTTTATCAGTGCCGTTACAGCTTAGCCTATTATTTATCACTTCTAGAGGAAAATTGACTCCAAACCCTAGATTAAGTGGAGATACACTCAACATATGGATTCTTCCTCTCTAAACAGTAAAGAAAAGGAGTTCATAAATCATCAAAATGATTTGCTTAAGAACACATGTAACATTCTATAAACAACCCTCAAGTTCTTGCCCAAGGCCCTTTTTCCTCATTTAATCCTAGAATACAATATTCAAACACTTAGTATTTACTAATTTTAACTGCAAATGAGGTAGAGATCATACCGAAGCACTTATTTTTAGAACCAATTTTTCCAATCAATTGGTTTTTTACAACGCAAAATTCTCATAATTCCATATAATGGGTCTTAGGATTTGAAAAGATAATATCAAAAGAATGATCAAGGGAATCAACCAAAGTTTGGTTAAAGATTGAATCTTTATTCTTACCTATTTGAAGAGCTAGCAATGCAGAATGGAAAAACTCTAAAAAGGGTTTGATTCCTCTCCTTCTTCCTCTGATTGATGAGGGTTTTGTAGAATAAAATCGAATTAATGAGGAAAAGACAGAAGATTGAAGCCTTTACTACAGCTTACCACTTGTCTCGGAGATGAAATGGTGGGAGATTCACGACGACGTTTGCTAGCTCCAACAAAATTTGAGTATATGCAATTTATTTTAGCAATACCAATATTTTTCAGAAGTTTTGCATTTGCCTCAATAACTTTTTTATTCCCCAATTTGGTACACTAGTCGCGAAAATAGTATGTTTGGATCGTTTTTATTGGTTTATGTACCATCCAATCTTATGTGTAGAAATCAAGTTTAAACTAAGTTTAATTATAAGACTTTTGAAGTTTGTATAATTTAAAAAGCCTTGTACTCCCTCCGTCCCATAATTATTGTCGCAGTTTTAATAAAATGAAAGATTTTATTTTTGGTCAAACTTAACTATATTTTACCTTAAACAACCGGATATATCCCTACATAAGTAATTGTTTAACCACTAAGATTTTATAGATAATATTTTTTACTAAGGACAAATGTGTAACTTGATCCATAAAAAGTCAAATTGGACAATAATTTTTGGACAAAATTTTTTGGACAATAATTATGGGACGGAGGGAGTATAATTATAACGGGATTTTTATGAAATATATATATTTTTTTGTATCAAAATGATTGTTCAGTTTGTATTTTTATTTTTAATTAAAAGTAAAAAATTCAAACTAAACAAGTATTTTAGTACAGAGAGAGTAATATTTTGTGATATCAGGAGATAGTTATGATTTCTAAGCTACAAGATCATAAAGACAGAGATGGATTTCTTGTTTATGTCATACTTCGTATGGAGAAGGTTATAACAAGTTCTTAAATTAAGGTTGTAAGTTGTAACAACTCCTGTTTATCTAATTTATATTCGAATAGCAACAATAAATAAATAAATAAATAAAAATTCTCTTTCAACATGTATTTTAATCTCTCTTGCATATCTATGATCTTTGTTTTTGTTGGAGAAAGCATTAACAGATTAACTAACTAATTTCTGCATGCACAACAAATCAAGTCAACTTTGTTACTCTCCATCATCGTATGGAAATCTCTCACAAACTTGTCAACCAAACCTTAAATCTCTCAAAACTGCCCACTTTTACCATTTCATCCCAACACTCCTTTTCCTCCTGCCATCAAATTAACAACCCATAAAAAGAAAAAAAAAACACCAAAAAAAGAAAAAATAAATAAAAAGAAAAGAAAAGACAAAAATAAAAAGAACCATCAAAATCAAAACCTCAAAGAAATTTAAGCTGATCTCTCACATTTTTCCCATCCCCGCCGGAGACGCAGCCGATATCTCCCTTATTCCCCACCAAATAATTCCATTCCTTTATTACTCTTCCCTCCCAAAAATATGCATAACATTAACAACAACAACAACAACAACAACGTTGTACAATCAACCAACACAACAACACAAACTGCAGCAACAACAAGGGTAAACACAACCCAAGCCTGCGCTGCTTGTAAATATCAACGTAGGAAATGCGCGCCCGACTGCATTCTCGCCCCTTATTTCCCACACGATCGCCAACGCCAATTCCTAAACGCCCATAAACTATTCGGTGTCAGCAACATTACCAAGATCATACGCCACCTCGATCAACCCGAAAAGGACGCCGCCATGAGGACCATCATTCTCCAATCTGATGTCCGGGCCACCGACCCTGTTGGAGGTTGTTACAGGATCATCAGGCAGTTACAACGACAGATTGATTACACGAAAGCCGAGCTTGAATTCGTTCTTCATCAGCTCGCGCTGTGCCGGGCGGCTCAGGCTCAGGTTCAGGATCATCAACAACAACAACAGCAGTCAGTTATTGTAGCGCCTGATGATGATAACAGGGATTCTAGCCCGGCTGACAATTCTGACGTGAATAATATTTTCGGAATGGAAGCTTTGGGTTTGGGGAGTTCGAATTCGGGTGAAACCGTGAATTATCAGCCATATTTCCAACCTTATAATCATAATCATCATCATTTAGAGCTACAACAATATATGATGATGATTAATGATCAGAATAATGATAATGCAAATGCAGCTTCTACTGCATTACAGGAAGCTGTTACAACGGCGAATTCATGGAGTGCTATGATGCAATCTTCTACTACTACTACAAAAGAGCCACAACAACATTCTAATAATGATATTATCCAGGACCGTAATGACAGCAACCTTGTTTTTAAGCCATTGTTGTTTGATGGTTTATCTGATGATCCTGAACAAGATTTCAGATTTGAATCTGAACCAACAATTGAGCAGAGGTTCGTATTATATATTCATCTAAATTATTATTCAACCGTTACTAAAGTTCTTGATGATGATTGGTGCGGAAACATTCATGTTGATTCATTGCTTCTCGCAGTGAAGAACACACAAGTTTGAGAAATCACCTAGTCGGTTTCAAGGCAGAAGATGAAAGTTCTTGCCATTGTAGTGATGCTGGAGATCAGCATCCCCATGATCTCAAAGGCGCAGCCACATTATTCAGCCTCACAAAATGCAATACTTAGAACACAGCATGCAAAATTTTTGTACAAACAGTTTGTAGTTAGAACTTTGTCTACTTTAAGGCTCCCTGATAACACAAATCTTCTCTGCATTTTAGAGGTGGATTTTGTAAACTAAACCAGATTATTTTGAGTAGTCGGAATGGAAAAAATTTGACACAGAATTTACATACAATGTTGGAAACTACTCCCTCTGTCCCAAAATTATTGTCCAGTTTGAGATTTCACTTTTAGTACAATTTGAACTAAAAATGAAAACCCAAACAGGACAATAATTATGGGACGGAAGGAGTACATTTCAATGGTCAATTAGGGTCAGTGGTTGGCCGTCGCCCCCCTAGAAATCTTCGAGATTACAATTCCTCACTCTTAACCATCTCCCCAAAACCTGCCCCTCAACTTATTTAAACTCTGTTTTTGGTCAATCAGTAACCCATTGCATCCATGTCCGGGACACGATTTGCATTTGGGTTCTTCTCTCCGTCAAGGTCGACAACGCTTGCTTCAGCAGTTGTCAATAGCAATGAAACACTGCATTGGAAACCCACTTTTTATTAAATATCAACTGGAAACAACAGCACCTACTAGATTTATCACCAGCATCAACAGTCAAAAGGGAGAAAAGCTAAGACCAAGTTCGAAGGTTACCTGGATGCATCGACCAAGGCTGTCCTAATAACTTTTACTGGATCAATTATTCCCGCCTTCACCATATCAACATATTCACCTGATTCATGATAAAATATGTACATTGTAAGAAAAAGCTATGAGATATGCATTTGCGATGTATTCACACATATGATGACTTTACCATGATCATTAAAGAGACTCAAGTGTCAGATGTTGAAAGTAATCAATCAATTTAAAAGCAAAATGATTCATCTGGCCCTATTAAAGTTCAGAGATGAAGGACACCCAAATTTGCCACATAAAAGTTGAGGTTTCGTAGATATTTATACATATGAGAAGGAATCCACCCAGCAAGACAATCAATGACTCTTTAAGAACAGTATCACAATGGATGCTCTCTAGAACTCCAAATCAGTAATTAGTCAATCTAAACCCATGGCAGAAAGCAGTATAGTTACAAACCTTTAACAGCATCATACCCCAAATTGAGGTTATCTTGCTCCAGTAGCTTGCCTATAACTAGAGCTCCCTCACCACCAGCATTAGAGATGATTGTGTATATTGGAGCCTGGCAAAAGACAAATGTCCACATTTAGGGATGGGAATAACAACCTAAGCTAACAAATTAAAGACATTTCTATTGTTGAAAGTTGAAACCTTGAGAGCATTCTCAATAATTTGGATTCCTCTTTTCTGGTCCTCATTAACTGCCTTTAGGTTTCTAAGAGCTCTTATGGCATACAACAGAGCCACACCACCACCTAGGAAAAGCAATTTACCATGTAAATTATTGACATAATAAGCCGACGCATTGAATCTATGAAAAGCAAATAAGACCTGGAACAATGCCCTCCTCAATTGCTGCTTTTGTTGCATTTAGAGCATCTGTAACCCGGTCTTTTCTCTCCCCAACTTCTGCCTCACTGGTTCCTCCAACCTGAGAATTGATCCCAAAGAATAATCAGAAAGGATCAATCAAGCACGAGCAAGAACTTATCCAGGTTCAACATTACCTTAAAAACGGCAACACCACCGGAGAGCTTAGATAACCGCTCCTGTGATTTTTCCTTGTCAAAAGTGGATGTGCTGTTCTCCATGGCAGTCCTTAACTGTTAAGAAATGTGTTCAGAATTAGTTTCTTAAGCAGTCAACGGCATAAGCAACGTCATTGATGCCAATCCCAATATGGACAAAGCACGAATCATGAATTCATCATACTTAAATTAGCAGGATGTATTGTGGTATAAAGAATGTGAAAAGTCCAACTAAAAAGGACAGCTGAAATTAATCAAACAAGAAAATAAATTTTGCCCAGCCAATGTCATATCTAGCTAGCAACGGTTAAGATCAAATTGTGTCCCGATATTCTCCAAACTCAAGCCAAAACATGCAGTAAATTACTTGGAGAATTTGGAAGCAAATTAGCAGGAGAAATCTGGATTGCGGTATAAAGGATGTGACATGTTCCACTAAAAGGGACAACTGAAATCAAACAAGAAAAGCTTTGTCCATCCAATGTCCTATATCGTTCAGCAACAGTTAAGATTAAATTACGTCCAAACATTATAGGAGCAATATATAACCAAATACGCATTCTGTCACAAAATCCAATTGTACCTGCTCACATCTTTCTTCAATCAGCTTCTTGTCCCCACCACCATGTAGAATAAGTGTGTCATCAAGAGAAATGGTGACCTGCACTCCGGAAGCTGACATGAGCCAAAGCTCTGAAGAAACATTAGTCCGACATGAATGTGCAATGAAGTAAACTGACCTTTTTAGCAGTACCAAGCATATGATTCTGAACTTTATCAAGACTGAAACCTTGTTCTTCACTTATAACCTGTACCAAACATTGAAGACTGAGACTAAAGGATACAAAGTTTGTTAAACATTGAGACTCTGTAGTTGGACCCTTCTCTGACCTCTCCTCCAGTTAGAATGGCAAGGTCCTCTAGACTTGCTCTTCTGTTCTCCCCAAAACCTGGAGCTTTAATGGCACAAACCTACAACAATAAGTACAGATAAATTAGCCCAGGATCCACAAGTATGTAGCACTTACATCTACGAAAGATGTGTGTAAGTAGTGAGTAATACATCCTCCTTAAAACATAAAGAGAGGAAAAAAGCAGCCTTATCAAGCAATTCAATACCTTGACCCCAGCCTGATGTTTGTTTATAATAAGCATATTAAGTGGATCACTTTCTACATCTTCAGCAACAATAAGCAGTGGCCTTTTGTTCTATACGAAAAAGGGACAGAAAAAGAATCGTCATGTGAAGTTGACTCTAATTTTTATAGTATTGTAATCACATGGAAATGAGCAAACTTGGAAAATCTGATTACCTTTACGGCCAGCTCTAATACTTTTACAAGAGAGTACATGTCTGAAATTTTCTTCTCATGAATGAGTATGAAGGGATTTTCCAGTTCCTGTCTAAACAAACAACGCCATTTACACAATGAGAACAGTAGAATATCAGATACATAAGAATGTACTGTGACACAAACATTGATAACATGTGCAGACAAAAAAATGAACAAAAGAGAAACAATCAGTATGTTGATCTTAAGCGTCTTGACTCATCTACCTTGTGTAAGAACTAAAACAAATCACAAAAACTGGCTACCACAATTTTATAAATAAACAATAATAATTCAAACCCATCAGCTATTGTACAAACAAAATTTAAGAAGAGTGTACTTACACATTTCTGAGTCTTTGCATCAGTGACAAAGTATGGAGACATATATCCTCGAGCTAGCTTCATTCCTTCAACCACTTCCAGCTCATCATCTAAAGTATTTCCATTCTACAGAATTCAACAAAAAGAACTTACGTTAACTTCTATGCTGACTGGTGAAAAATAAGTATAGAAAAAGACCCAGCTGACAAATTCATATCTTGAGATGTAAGATTAGTTTGCCTACTCACAGAAACAGTTATGACTCCTTCCTTTCCAACTTTCTCCATAGCCCTTGCTATCAGTTCTCCAATTTCACGTTCATTATTTGCAGAAATCGTGGCCACCTGTTCCAGAAGTAAGACATGCCTAAGTGAGAAAATATACATGAAAAATATAAATCTTGAAGAATCCTCTTCTTCTTTTTCTTTTTTTTTCCCCCAATTATGACCTGTGTAATTTCTTCGGGTGTGCTAATCATGACAGCTCTGCTCTTCAGATCCTGGATAACAGCATCAACAGCCAAATTCATACCACTGCGTAAATCCATCACGTTCACGCCAGCAGCCACGGATTTGTAACCTTCAGTGAAAATTGCCTGAGTCAGAACGGTAGCACAAGTAGTCCCTGCAACAACGGATTTCAATGGTGAGAACTCATTTACAATTCAAAATGCATACACATAAATGGTTCAATCCATAAAGTAAATGAAAGCAGCAAAATACCCATCCTCGCAGTAATCAGTACATCTTAAAATTGTATAATCCCAACCAGATTAAAGGACTTCCTTCACACATGATCTTCATGGTAAAGACACTAATAATGTTAAAATAATGCATTTTAATGTTTCTTCTTACATATAGGTACAAAGTTTTTTTTTTTTTTTTAATTGAAATCTGAAGTCAAAATCTTATTAAGTACACTTTTTTTTTTCAAGTATCCAAGTAACAGAGAGTCCATTTTACACTGGGATGCAAAGTAGTGAAATTACCGTCTCCAGCTACATCATTTGTGGCTTTTGCAACCTGCTTCACCAGTTCTGCTCCGATATTTTTTGCCTTATCCTTAAATTTGATGGATTTTGCTACAGAAACTCCATCCTTAGTGATCTTAGGATATCCATGGCTTTTCTCAATAATCACAGTACGGCCCTACACATAAGAACGAACCAATGTAACCGCTTCAATATGCTGCTTATATGCAAATCTCGGCTAAGGTAGTAAGGTAAGATACACATTTTCTACAAAATGTTCACAAATCCTGTTTACCTTTGGTCCCATGGTGACCTTTACAGCTTCCGCCAGATCATTCACACCCTGCAACATTGCAGCCCGCGCAGATGTTCCGAAATTGATATCCTTGGCCACATAATTCCTGCTGGACACAAGACGACTGCATACCTATAGTCAAGCAGGCAAACACACAAATCAGGATACCATAATTTCTTGAAGCAAACAGGTGAATAAACAAAAGAAAAATAGTTGAAATGAATTCGAAACCATCTGATACGTACCTTTCTGGTAGCTGATGACCTGGTGAAAATTGGAGCCAAAATAAGAAAAAAAAAAAAAAAACAAATCGTCACTTACATTATCATTGAAAGTACGAAAAATTGAAAAAGAAAAATGGAAATCAAGAAGAAAGCTTGAAGAGATTTACCTAGAGGATGAAGCAATGGCAGCAGCAAGACGATACATGGCCAAATTGATTGATTGATTGATTATTCAAATGATGGAAAGATCCAGAAGGAGGGAAGAAGATTTTGGGGGCAATGCTGTAGGGTTTAAGCCTTAAACCTTTTTGCTGTCACCTATTTTAAAAATGTTCATCTTCTTTAATATGACTCTCCTCAAAATTGGGCTTAATGAAGACGTTGGAATAAATTGGGCTGATTGAGCAGAACCTCAAAGCCCAATATGATTGGACCCCTCCTCCTACCATACGTGGCAACAAAAAGAAACAGTTACCTACGTGGCAATTCCCCATTGGCGGAGTACACCACATTCATTCTACGTTTGTTCCAGTTGAATATTTTCTCCAGAAAGGCAGCAAGATCAAAAGAACAGGGGAAAACAGGAGACGAAGGAAGAAAAGCGAAGAAAAACCCCAAAAGAAGAGTCCAAAATGGGTAAGAAACCATTGCTGGGCCTGACATTCGTTGTTGCAATGCTGTCAATCGTATCTTCAGTTATTTCCATCGACGACAAATGTTCTGCTTGCACCGCCATTGCTGTAAGAAATCAATCCTGTTTCCCAGAAATATAAAGTTGCTTATCCTCTTGTTTCCAAATTGTCTACTTGTTTATGAGTGGAAGTTTTGATTTCAACTGCTGGATTGGTTTTCAGGAGGAGCTGGAGCGAGGACTGATGAATGTAAGAATTTTTCCTTTAAAACTTTACTTTCTTTCTTGTAATCTTTTGTTTTCTTCTCACATTACTCCTTAATATAAATTAGTACTCCGTAATGTACATGGTGGGCTGGAATTTCAGGAAAAATGAGATTTTGATTATGATTTTCTACTTCTATTAGGAAAATCAGTACTGAGGCAATGCACCTCTAAACTCAAAGTTAGCGTTTTTAAGTGGGAAAGATTCTGAGCCGGCTGCATGTTGATGATACTATTGTGCAATATAGCATGGTAGAATCCATAGAGGTTGAAAATCATCTTTATTTAGTGTCATATCCCATCGTATTGATGCTTTATAATATGTGGTAAGTAGTAACTGAGAATGGATGAATCTAACATTCTTGTAATGATGTTGCACGAGTCTTTTTAGAGTTGGTTACAGTGATCTAGTTAGACTTGTGGTTTATTTAGAGTTGGAGTCCTTCTGTAAATGCGAAGCTTAAGTTACCCTTTTGTCTCAAAAAAACTTTGAATTATCTATCGAAAATAAATAGAGATCAAGGGAGTTCCATTGATCACCTTATCTTGACATTACATCCTCATCCTTTTTGCAAAAAGAATCTGTTAAATAACTCTGTATACCTTCCAGGAAAGACCGAAAAATCATCTGGACATGAGACATCGTTTGGACTCGAAGGGTCAACGCCAAGGAAGGGTAATAGATTACAGGTATATTTCTCCGAAAATTTCATCATGTTATACTTCATTTTGTTGGTTCTCTTTGTGTTATAATTGTATGATTAAATCTTACTTACTAAGCGAATCAATTTGCCCAAATTATCTTTATGAGTAAAAGCATGACTGCATGAGTACTTGGTCAGCATATTGTACAACTGTTACAAACTATGACCGTTTGACAGCATATCGTACCGTGTTTCTGGTTTAGTAATCACCAAGTTGACCGACTGTAATTGTCTGAAACTTTTCGTTCAAACCTGCTTCTACATGTTTCTTTCCACAAGGCCATACTTATTGAATCCTTTATGATCTTTCCAAACAGGGTTAGTGAATTGAGAGTTGTTGATCTTCTTGATGGGCTCTGTGATAAGATGCAAGATTATACTCTTGAGAAGGTACATATTAGTTTTTGTCGTTTTGTTTGCCACTTTGGTCTCAACATCAACAACTAGAATGTGGAGTAGCCCCTATTGAAAAGATTCATCCAGTTACTGTTTTTAACCCTCCTGATTGAAATTGGCAGGTGGAGTCTGGCTCTCAGGTGTGGGTGAAAGTGAATAACTGGGATGCTGTGAAAACTAGTACGTGCAACTTATTAATTATTGTTTAACACTCGAGTTGTATAATACTTCGGTGATCTTGGGTTATTTTCTATAAACAAGTTAGCGCGTTTGAGTTTCCATGATAATCTTTATTCTACCTTGTTTTGTTACAGATAAACAAGAAGCTCGAGCACATTCTAAAGACATATCCTCTTTCTGTGGAAGGTGAGACTTGCAGCAAGTTTGAACTTCCTAAAAGGTCATTTCTTTGGAACTTTAATGTTTCCCTTTTGGAATTGACATTTGATGCGCATTCTGCATCTCATTTGGACAATGTTCACCTTTGTGTGTAGGTTACTCGAGGAAACTGAAGATGAGGTATACTCTCTATTTTATCCCAAAATTAATGTTTTCCTGGTTGATGCCATCATGCCATGCTGATGTTGCCTTTCGCTGACATGAATGAACTGCTTTTGATCTTCAAACCAGCTTTCAGACTTAATAAAACAAGGCTCTGTTAAAGTTGGAGGCGTCAGCAAGGTCTTGTGCGAAGACCTGGGGAGATATTGCGATCAAACTAGGTAAAATTTCGATTTCATGACCCAATCTGTATTTAGTTCTCATTTTCTTGGGAAATTGAGATTGTATATCCAATCTCTCTCATCATCAAGAAAATGTTCGTTGACCATCAGTTTGTGTAATGATGCAGCATCAACGCCAACAATGATGAGATCGCGGATGAACTCTGATTGATTGGGTGTTAACTTTAGTCTAATCCACTGATTGAATTTGCAATACATATTTCCTTACACCCGGCAGACATTACAGAGAGGTTGCAGTATTTCTTCCATGCAACTGAAGTTCCTCGCACATTGCCCCTAAAACTATCATTCGGGGGCTTGCCGCTATATATTGTTTTTCTGTACTTTTCTGCTTGTAATTTTTCCTTCCAAAGCCTTTGTAGTGCTACTGTTTCACAACAAGTTCGATAAGACAGATGCTAATCATCTTTTTAAACTTCTATAATTAAGCACAACCATTCTTACGAGATGAGCTTAAGTTATCTGTTACTAGACAGGAGTCAAGGCTAAATTGATGGTAAAATATATTCAGAGGGAAATCATATATTGGACAAATCTCTAGGGATCATTCTATGAAGTTAGCAGAAGCCACTCTACAAGAAACACTCCAATAAAGTAATGGTAGAAATGAAAGGATTAACCATCTAGATCATAATTAAAGAGTTGGAAGCTATCATATCTATTACAAGACATCAACATCTCAATTAACCTCCTTGCTATTTGTTCACGAAAATGATACAACGATATATATATATATATATATATATATATATATATATATATATATATTATATAACTGTTAACTTTAATAGGAATGGCAGTTTGAACTTTATAATTTTTTTTCAACTATTTTCAAACTTTGTTCCTACGATTATATACGTCCGCTAGTATATATTAATGTGGTCTCCATACATTCAGGAGGGACTATATCATCTTCAATTAACCTCCTTTTGAGTGTTCATTAAAAAGGAGTAAGAACAAAATTTCCAGGGCTTTGAAAACTAAATACTAAATTTAAAGATGGTCTGACTATAAATAAATAATGTCGTAGGGATCTTTCTAGCAATTTTTTTAAATGGAAAAAAAGGAAAAACAAAAAATAGTAGCTTAGACGGATTAAGGCGCCGTAAGTCTGACTCGAACGTTCGCCGTTCAGAGACCCCAATTCTTCAGCAACATTCCTGAGCTCTCTGCTCATTCCTGTTTGCCCTAATTTCTGCTTTCTCAATTCACCTCCAACTCTTTCCTATCACGTTAGTTTTACACACAAAAGAAGAAGGGAATTTGGTTTTGGAGGCCATTTTGATTCTGCAGCTTTCAGCGCCTTTTGGTTCCTCGCCTTTTCCGGCGGCGGCCATTGATGTGCTCTTGAGGTAAAGAAAAAAATATTCCTTTCGCACATTTCAATAATTTTCTAGTCTGTGTACCTCTGACTTCAACACGCGAGCTGGTTGCCAGGATTTCTTTTTATCCCTCTTATACCGCATCTAGAAAGTGTTATTTGTGATTATTTGTTCGTGGCTAAAGTAAGTTTCTGCTGATTTTTCTGGAAAGGAACCGTTTGAGCGTGCTGTATTGGTTAAAATTCGAGCTGATTTTTTGTGATTTACGTTTAGCTTGAGCTCTGATACTGAGGTTTCTTTTATTTTTCCTTGTTTTTGCTTTTGTACTTTGGTCTGGAAGGTCATACTGAGGAAGGTGTATCCAAGACATTAAAGAGTGAATTCTCAATCTGTCTTCACGGTGATATTTATTTTGTTATATAACCTTGGCTTATGTGTCACCATCATCCGACATGAAGCTGGCTGTTAGTCAGTAGTATTGATTAATTATGGAGGTGATTATGAGATGAGATGCAAGTTGCTGGGTTGGAAAATAAGAAGAGGAATTAGGGGTTAGGAGTTAGATGGAGTCAAGTTCAGCTGTGGGAAGCTCAGGTTTTGAGGTCCAAGAGGATGTAGAGTTTGATTCACATGGAGCAGCCTATGAATTCTATAAGGAATATGCCAAGTCTGTGGGGTTTGGCACTGCAAAATTGAGTAGTCGCCGGTCTAGAGCATCCAGGGAGTTCATCGATGCTAAGTTTTCGTGTATTAGGTATGGAAATAAGCAGCAGTCTGATGATGCTGTTAATCCAAGACCTTCACCCAAGATAGGTTGTAAAGCAAGCATGCATGTGAAGAGAAGGCAAGATGGAAAGTGGTATATTCATAGTTTTGTGAAAGAGCATAATCACGAACTTCTGCCATCCCAAGCGCATTTTTTCCGAAGTCATATGAGTGATTCGCCTCGTAAGAATGATGCAAAAGTACGTAGAAGGAAGATTTTGTCTTCTGTTGCCAAACCTTATGGGGTGTATCAGCTCTCAAGTCCAATAGATAATTTTCTCAGAAATCAGCATGATAGAGGTCGGAGTTTGACTTTAGAAGGTGGAGATGCTCAACTTCTACTGGAACTCTTTGTTCATATGCAGCTAGAAAATCCAAAATTTTTTTATGCGGTTGACTTCAACGAAGAGCATCGACTAAGAAATGTATTTTGGGTTGATGCTAAAGGCATAGAAGATTATGCTTATTTCAATGATGTCGTGTTGCTTGACACCGCTTATTTTTCAAACAAGTATAAACTTCCTTTAGTTCTTTTTATTGGAGCGAACCAGCATATCCAGCCCATACTATATGGATGTGCATTGATTGCAGATGACACAGTGTTTACATTTGCATGGTTGATGCAGACGTGGTGTTTAGCAATGGGGGGACTCCATCCACAAGTTTTACTGACTGATGAAAGCAACTCAATGAAAACAGCTGTTGCCAATGTCTTTCCAGATACTCGTCACTTTATCAGCCTGTTCAGTATATTGGAAAAGATCCCTAGACAACTGCAGTATCTCGGCCCTTGGCATGAAACTTTTTTGGCGAAGTTTCTGAAATGTGTACACAAGTCATGGTCTGAAGAACTATTTGAGAAGAGGTGGTTGAAGTTAGTAGAAAGATTCAATCTTCGAGATGATTTGTGGATGCAGTCTATCTATGAAAGCCGCAAGCTATGGGTCCCTACTTTTATCAGGGATGTATCTTTTTCTGCATTGTCTGCAGCTTCTAGATGTGAAGGTCTGAATTCTTTCTTTGACAAGTATGTTCTTGTGGACACTTCATTGAAAGACTTGGTCGCGCAATTCAAGTTAATCTTGGAGGACAGAAACGAAGAGGAGGCGAAGGCAAATTTTGATGCATGGCACGAAGCACCTGAGCCGAAGTCTCCTTCACCTTTTGAAAAACAAATGTCTCTTGTCTATACTCATGAAATATTTAAGAAGTTTCAAGTGGAAGTGTTGGGAGCAGCTGCATGCCATCTCAAGAAAGAACAGGAAGACGAGTCGAGCATAACATATGTTGTAAAAGACTTTGAAAATAACGAGGATTTCAAGGTGGAATGGAATGAACAAAAATTGGAAATAAACTGCTCATGTCGCTCATTTCAATACAGGGGTTATCTGTGTAGGCATGCTATTGTGGTTCTCCAAATGTCGGGTGTTTTTACAATTCCATTCAAGTATATCTTACAGCGCTGGACTAATGCTGCCACAAGCAGGCACCCTATTAGTGAAAAATTGGATGAGGTGCAAGCAAAAGTCCGTAGATACAATGACCTATGTCGGCGTGCTATCATATTGGGTGAAGAAGGATCCCTATCTCTTGGAAGTTATACTATGGCGCTTGGTGCTATAAATGAAGCTATGAAGCAGTGTGTAAGTGCGAATAACTCTACTGAGAATGACTTGAGAACGGGTGCCGTAGCAACAAATTTACAGGACATCAATCAAGGTAGCATTGCGACAGGCGATGGGGGGCCGCCTAGTAGTGTGGTTATGCCAGCAAGTAAGAATTCTAAGAGAGCTCATTCTGGAAAAGAAAGGGAAAGTGTCGTCAGCAATGTAAATAAGAAGGGCAAGGTTGATATTTTGTCTTTTTTCAACTTTTTTTTTTCTAACTGTGGATCAACATTTCTATTGTGATATCTTATATTTGACGCCATTCATTTGTATGTCAGGTTCCAACAGAGCAAGGTGCTTCAAATGTTGGATCACACGGCGACTTTCACCAAATGGTTCGTTGTACTTACCCTCTGATGCTCTTCTAAAACAGAGATATGTACTTTTGCATATATTGGAATCGCAGTTCAGTGTGTTTTATTCTCTTCGTCAGAGATATGGTGTAAATCTTCTACTGGTTGAAGTAATATAGTCTCGTACTTGCAAAATTTGCCACGACTTCTCATAGTAAGTTGCATGCAGAGTTTTGGATGCCTCTTTGACTTTGAAAAGCTTTCTCCCATTCTTACGAGTTTCTAGGGGAGAACTCATAAAATTCTCTTTCTTGATGTGGACATTTATGCAACCTTACAAATTTCTGTCTGACTCAATTCTTACCCAATCAATCAAGTTTTGATTTTTTAGATTTAAATCTCTGTCTTGTGTTTTTCTTCGGTCAAAATGTGAGTTTTCATTTTGACTAGGATGTGCATGGCGGTGGCTTGGAGTATCCTAACGCATATCCCAGATTTTTCACGACACTGTTAAGAACTGGCGAAATGAACAAGAAAAACGTGGACATGCTCAGTGAGATGCTGGAGGAACAAAGTTGAAGGTGACCTGAAAAGAGGAAAAGGGATGTTCATGTCATGAATTGTCCGGAAGTTGCAAGCTCTTTCGCACTCCCTGCCCATGGCTTCTTTGTGTGGAAAGAACATGTTCTTCTTTTGGTTCACACCATTCAGATGCGCAAGCCGGCGATCTGTTGCTGAGCACACAATAAAGAAGCCGTCCGAATCCATGGATTGAACAGATCAGCGGAGAGCATTGCAGTCATACATGCCTGATTGCCTGGTGACAAAATTTTCCAGCAAGCTGTAATTATACGAATAAAATGGTTCCATTTGTCAACAAACCCAACTTATATGCCAGTTCATTTTTTGCCCTTTTTTCGTCCAGCCATCAAGGTGTTTATGCTTCGGTTTCAGTTTAGAGGTCATTATGATGTTTATGAGGAGTTTTTTACCTAAATAATTTTTAATGGAAGGACCTGGACAAAAATATATGCCCTAGAGTGGTGTGGACAAATCTAGTTATCAAATCCGAATCTATCCATTTTGTATTAGATTCGGATTTGCCAAATCTGAATCTCCTTGTATTACAACTATATGATGAATTAATTATATTCGGTAGATTCGGATTTGAGTACAAAATGGATAGATTCGGATTTGGCAAATCCGAGACAACCCGAGACAACTAGTTTTGTCCACCAAACATATAAAAAAATTATTTTTGTCCACATTTTTTTTTGAAAATTTTTTTGGCCGAAGCACCCTCCATCGCACCCTGTTTATGAGCAGGCCCCGGGCCACTGCGCTTGTACGCATACAAAATCAATGTGTTATACCCAGCCATTTTTCCCCTGGTAAAGAAAACTGTTAACTTTGTGTTAAACCATCATGAAAAATCTAAATTCCGCCATAGAAATTAGGGTTAAGAAACAGCAATTAAGGGATGAAAGCGGTTAAGACAGAATATTCTAGAAAGAAGTGTAAAATCAATTATGAAAACCGTGTTTAGTTCTGTACAGATATTCCCTACTCATACTAATATCATTGGCATAATGATTAATTATGCTTATTTACTGAGGGACTATACAATAGTTTTACTGCTATATGTACAAGTCTTAATGCTTTATGTACAACACTCCAAAGCTAAGCATATTTACATTTTGTCAATTATGTACAAGTCATGTAACCCCAAATATTTACCCTATAATTCTGTCATCCACGTCAACATCCTCCAGTGTTGTGGAGAGCCCTCAACCATTATCAATTGAGGCATAAACTCGTTGACAGTATGAACAATTGTTACAAGTAGTTTCGGTTTTATTATCTCTATTTTCGACTTTCTCTTAATGTACACTAATTAATAGAACATAGTGTAATAGTTTAGGTACTTAAACAGGTACCTTTTCAATAAATAAATAAAAAACCATGGAAATATTGATGAGAAAATAAAAAACCGAACCTTGGCTAATGGTGTCTGCTTGTCCATTATTGAGAAAGACACTTCTATTACTACTACAAATTAATATGAGCGTAGTAATTTCCAAAAAGGAAATTGACTAATCAATCACTTCTCCTTGCGATTTGTACAGCCGTTACGAAACACCCAGGCCCAGCCTAAGCTTACAACTCAGCCTAATACTGCAGCCGTTAATGTTTCCTAATTGAGTAATTATTGGAAACAAAAATTGCGAGGAAATATATACAGGAAATTAGTACTACTTTTGCATTGTAGTGAAAGTCGGTGATTCTTCCACCATATAAATAAGAGCCTGCCGCGCCAACTGAAACTCTAAAGAGTTAATCATAGCAACAAAAATTCGCCCAAATCTGCCAAGGTAAACCAAACTCTCTGGCCGCCGCTCTCCTTTTCTTCATTGAATTTAGGGCTTCCTCTTAGATCCATATTATTTTGGTGTTACGATTTTCTTCTTTCATCAGTATGTTAGTCGCGTTTATATGAATTGATGAATCAACTCTGTTCATCCTCGGCTGATGTTGTGTGCTTTTTTTTTTCTTTTTTTTTTTTTGCTTTTAGATCTAGGGTGTGAACAATTTGTCTACTGTTGACATCTACAAAGGTAAATAATACTGCCTGCGTCCCAAAAAAAAAAAGGTCATTTACGATTTCGTCTACTGAAACTGAAGTATGATATCTTTTTACTGGAATTTGAAATGTTGCTACATGCCTACATCTAATCAAGCCTAACTCTGAGAACGAATTAAAGTGTAGTAAAATCTGGGAACCATATAAAACTTTGTGATTTTGTTTTTGATTCATTAATTAAAAGATCTTTTAAGAAAAACCAAATAGTTAGTTTAATATATCTGGATATAGTTAGTACCATAAATTCATTCCAAGAGATCTTATGAATTTTTTATTTTAATTGGACCGGAGTAATTAATTAGTAACTTCTTTTTTTTTTGACACACAATTATAACTATTTAATTATTATATATAGGTGGGATCTATGGGGTCTAAGAGAGAAGATTTCATGCGCGCACGCCTCAATCTATTCCACATTAAAATAAAATATTTAGCTCATATAACAAAATAATATATTAGTATATTTTAGTGTATTACAATTTAACTAGAGAGACTAGATGGCATAATATAATATAGAAAAAACTTGTATACTTATCAATGCGAGGATTTAACATTTTGTGACAATTATTTGAGATATCAATGCGAGTATTTAAAAAACAAAAAAAAGAGATATTAATATATCTAACAATACAGGAAGTCTTACTTATTTTATATAATTTTAGTTTAAAATAAATGAATGGAGGTAATAATGTGGTTATTGTAAGAGAATGCTGAAAAAATGGCAGCTGCCAACCTGATCTGGTCAAGACTTAATATTCCCAAGCATTCCTACATTGCTTGGTTGGTTTGGCAGGGAAGGATCAGAACCAAAGACAGGTTGATGCAATGGAATATCCCAATGCAAGATCCAATTTGCTGCTTATGTGAAGAAAAGGAGGAATCTATGGAGCATCTCTTCTTCTCATGCTCTTATGCAGAAATATTGATCAGTAAGGTGAAACTGTGGTTGGGCATAAGAGAATGGCATGTGCAAATGCGACAATGAAAACAGAAATTTTTGTATGTGTGGAAGCAAATTCGCTTGAAAAAGCAGATTTTGTATGCAACTGTTGTTGCTTGCATTTATTGTTTGTGGGAAGAACGAAATTGTAGAGTATTTAAGGGCCATAAAAGAAGTAAAGAAGTGATAGATCAGGAAATTTAGAGAATGATTAAAATTAGAGTCATGCATTACAAAAGGAAGAATGTGACAGCAACAAAACAGAGTATCATCCAAAGGTTGTTCCCAGGCTGAGGATAGATATATTTTGATTGTACATCCATTGTAAATAGTGGAGTTTTGGTAGGAACCCTGTAATGCAAACACCTATTTTGGTAATGAAAATTCACAGTTTCACCAAAAAAAAAAAAATGGTGATAATTTGTTGTGATAGAGAATAGGTGTTAGATTCAAGAAGGAAAACTTATATTTGAAGGATTTTTTTAAGATTTTAATTATTTTATATTTTAGTTTATTTTTTTAATGAATTATATTAATGCAATTTATAGTCTTTTGAGTTAAATTGTAATACACTAAAATATATTAATATCTTTCTCATTTATGTGAGCTAAATATTTTATTTTTATGTGAAATATTAATTTTAGCTTAATGTTTTTATTCTTTAGATTAGTAAGAATAGAATAAATAAGAAAAATACTATTTTTACTGCTAAATATATTATTAAAAATATTAATATGTTTATATAAATACAATCATGTGTTACAGTCACACAATAATTAATTTTTACAGTAGACCTTGAAAATAAATAAATATTTCTTTGAGGATCATATAGTAAACTTTTATGGTTATGAAAAGTAGTAAAAGGAAATAGAATAAATCAATGAAATAGAGAAAAATAAAATAAAAAGTAAAAAGGGACTTTTTTATTATTTTTATGTATTATAGGGGTTATTTTTATACTTTTTAAAACTATTAGGATTTTTTTTATTAAATCTATTATTTTAATAAAAAAACTAACGGAGATCCGTTAAGTTGGACGGAAAATAGACGGATTGGACGAAAATTGGTAAAAATTTCAAATATTAGAGTAAAGTTGGCTAACCGAAAATATATAAAGACGAAGGCAAAGTTTTGGGTAGTAGCGCCATTTTTTCTAAAAAATAATTCACGTTAAAATATAATCATGTATTACAACTATATAAAGATTAATTTTTGCGGTATTGTTTGAAAATAAGTAAAAATTTCTTTAAAACTCATTTAATATACCTTTACGGTCATTAAAAGTAGTAAAGAAAAATGGAAATAAAGAAAAATAAAATAAAATAAGTAAACAAAATGGTCTCTTTTGTTATTTGTATATATTTTAGGAGCGCCATTTTTTTCATTATTTTTTGGAATAGAGGAATATGAAAATTTTTAATCTATATAAATTAATAATCAATAGTTTTTTCATTCCCAGTTTATACCGTGCTAAAAATTGAGGATATCATCATCAATATTCAATATGTTAATGAATCAAACAATAGTTGATCCGTTAATGATTAGAAAATGAGAGATATCATCATTAATGTGTGAATAAAAGTAAAAAAATCACGTTATTCAGGGGAACCATTTTCTAGTAAATATTTTACTGAAATTTGGTTAGTGAATAAAAAAAAAATTGAGATATTATTATCAATGTTTAATATATCATCATAAAGATCACTTGAATATTCTGTTTCCATGGCTTAAACAGTTACTTTCAATGTTGAGTTTGCACAAGTTTGTTTGCACCTGCTAAGAGGTTTTTCGAGTAACAGATTGAGACATGCGCGCGTGAAGTCTCCTTTTTAGATCCTATAGATCTTACCCACATATAATATATTAGGTATTTGTAATTGTATATCAAAAAAAGTTATGGTACTAACTATATCCAGATATATTAAACCAACTATTTGGTTTTTCTTAAAAGATCTTTTAATTAATGAATCAAAAACAAAAACACAAAGTTTTACATAGTTTCCAGATTTTACTACACTTTAATTTGTTCCCAGAGTTAGGCTTGATTAGATGTAGGCATGTAGCAACATTTCAAATTCCACTAGAAAGACTGAACCGGTCGAATTGTATTTTAACGGTTTGGTGCGGTCCGATTTCAGTTTCGGCCGAATTTTTTTTGTAGGTCATTTACGAGCAGGCCCCCTGCCTCTGGGCCTGTACGAATACAGAATCGATGTGTTAGTCCCGACAAGAAAATGATCCTATTTTAAAGAAAGGTGTTAACTTTGTGTTAAACCACCATGGGTTGATGAGAAAATGCGAAGCGAACCTTCGGCTAATGGTTTCTGCTGGTCCATTATTGAGAAAGACACTTCATTACTACTACAAATTAATTGCGAGTATAATAAATTTCAATAAAAAGGGACCAAAGTTGACTCATCAATCACTTCTCCGAGTGATTTATACGACCATTAGCTGGAAACACCCAGCCCAGCAAATAACACGCCTAATACAGCCGCCGTATATGTTTTTTTTTTCTTTTTAATTATTCCAATTTAAAAAGGAATGAATTATTACCTTTTGCATGTAGTAAGTCGC